GATTGTGTTGTAACTACAAGCTCTGGAAGTTGTGATGCCATGGGCCTCAGTAGAACCACATTTTCATATTTCTACCTGTTTTCTGGGTATAGTAGCCTACAAAGTTTTAAAATCTTTATCTTTCTTATCTTCAGGCGCTAATTAATCGTGGAGTTAACCTGGATCCCCTGGGCAAGTGGTCAAAGACTGGACTGGTGGTATATGATTCTTCTGTGCCCATTGGTAAGTGTTCCCTGCCCGATAGCCCCTTCTGCCCCTGCCGTTGTCCCAGCGTGTCACAGACAGGTCCTCCTCCACAGGTGCAACCCCCGAGTACCTGGCTGGGCACTATATGCTTCAGGGAGCCTCCAGTATGCTGCCGGTCATGGCCTTGGCACCCCAGGAGCACGAGCGGATCCTGGACATGTGTTGTGCCCCTGGAGGAAAGACTAGCTACATAGGTATGAGAAGGGCAGGCAGGAGGAGGAGCCATTTGGCTCTCTGCTTCTGGAAGTAAATGGGGTCGCTGCCTCTCTAGTGCTCAAGAAAACAGTGCACAAGCAATTCACCGAGTGGGGAGGAGTATAGGCTCTGGAGCTGGCCTAAGTTCCAGCCCCATGTGCCACCAACTATCCGTATGGCCTCGGACAAGCCCCCGATCTTCTTCTTTTAAATGGGGTAGCAACTGTGCTTGGCTTGGCGGTTATATCGTACCTGGGTTGTTAGGGTTGAGATAAGCTTTTAGAAGTCCTTAGCAAAGTGTTTGGCACATAACTAGTCATAACAATTTTATTAAGCTGTTATCACTTAGAAGAAGTAAGTTAGTCTGTAGGACCAAAAAGGTGCTCAGTAACAAACAAACCACACTGGCAGTCGTGCTCCTCAGCGGGTGCGGGTTGACAGACCTGTACAGTAGACAGTGGGGAGGAGGCTTATTGGGAGTGAAGTCTCTCTGCAGTGGTGAGAATTCAGCTGTGGGTTCTTGGGCTGGAGGATGACTGGCGGGTGTGGGGGCAGAGGAGCTGGCTGGTGAGCGCTGTGCCTCTCTCTCTTCAGCCCAGCTGATGAAGAACACAGGTGTGATTCTTGCCAACGATGCCAATGCTGAGCGGCTCAAGAGTGTTGTGGGAAATCTGCACCGGTTGGGAGTCACCAACACCATCATCAGCCACTACGATGGGCGCCAGTTTCCCAAGGTGCGGCTCCCCTCTGTGCGTCTGTCTTGTGCGTCTTCCAATTCACTGTCCCCTTCCTGACCTCACAGGTTTAGACTTGCCCCTGGGAAATTTAATGGTGCAGTTCAGATTGCCAAAAACGCCTAATTAACCTTATACTCTTTTTTCCCCAGGTGGTGGGGGGCTTTGACCGAGTACTTTTGGATGCTCCCTGTAGTGGCACTGGGGTCATCTCCAAAGACCCAGCTGTGAAGACTAACAAGGTGAGGAGTTGGGGGGTGGGGCTAGGAGTGGGGCTCGGGACCAGCTGAGAGGTCTGGCTGGGCCTTACGGAGCTGGAATGGGAGGTGGAGGAGCATTCTGAGCGGTTAATAGCTCATCTCTTCTCCTGAGGCTGTCTTTTTGAAATTTTGACACCCTTGCATCCGTCTCTCCTTGGGACAGGATGAGAAGGACATCTTGCGCTGTGCTCACCTTCAGAAGGAGTTGCTCCTGAGTGCTATTGACTCTGTCAATGCCACGTCCAAGACAGGAGGCTACCTAGTCTACTGCACCTGTTCCATCATGGTGAGGCCTCTGTTGTGGCAGAGCTGAGGGGACAGGGCTAGGATGTTGTTTGCCCCTTAGAGCTCCCTTCAGCTCCAGCTCTGCTTTTCCTTCTTTTTGTCTCCCCCACATGTCCAGGTGGAAGAGAATGAGTGGGTGGTAGACTATGCCCTGAAAAAGAGGAACGTGCGGTTGGTGCCCACAGGTCTAGACTTTGGCCAGGAGGGTTTTACTCGCTTTCGAGAAAGGCGCTTCCACCCCACCCTGCGTTCTACCCGCCGCTTCTACCCTCACACCCACAATATGGATGGTTTCTTTATTGCCAAGTTCAAGAAATTCTCTAATTCTATCCCCCAATCCCAAACAGGTAAGCAGTCTGCTCTTTCTGCCCTTCATCACCACCTTTGCTCTTTTTTACCTTTCAGGAGGCGTCTGACTGCAGGGAAGGGAGGGACTTCTGCTTCCCTTATCCTAGCCTTTGCATGCTTGGATGAGAGGCCTCTTTCATCCCACTTAGAATCGTTCCTGAGCTTGTACCCCATTTTAGTATATGGGAAAGCATTCTTACAGATGGGGACCTTTTTGCTTGATTCTGCCAAGTGGCTGCAGTCTTTAAGCACTAAATGCATTCCCAGTGCAGTTGTGGTTTCTTTTCCTTCTTGGCCAAGGGCTGCCTTCCTGGTAACGGACCTCTGCTGGTCCAGCATTGTCAGCATCGGGTTGGCACAAGACTCCTCGGAACCATCAGCAGTTCTCTGAGTCAATCACGCTAATTGCAGATCTTTTTCTCAGCCATCTTGAGTCTGGCCTGGATCTCCGGAAGGGTGGGGTTTTCTGGAACAGGCGTCGCGGTTCTGCATGCTGGGATAGAACCCTGGGTTTAGTTGGAAGAGGGAGAGGCGAGTTTCTCTGAATACAGACTGACTTACTGAGTTGATTTCTTTTTTTTTTTTTTTTTTAAGTTTATTTATTTAAGGGGCGCCTGGGTGGCTCAGTTAAGCGTCTGCCTTCGGCTCAGGTCCCAGGGTCCTGGGGTCGAGTCCCACAATGGGCTCCCTGCTCAGCGGGAAGCCTGCTTCTCCCTCTCCCACTCCTCCTGCTGTGTTCCCTCTCTCGCTGTGTCTCTCTCTGGCAAATAAAATCTTAAAAAAAAAAAAAAGTTAAAGTAATCTCTGTCCAACATGGGACTTGAATTCATGACCCTGAGATCAAGAGTTGCATGCTCTTTGGACTGAGCCAGTCAGGCACCCTGATTTCTTTTTTCTCTTTATAAATAATGTTCCTCACAGAAGTCACATCTGAATATTAAGAGAAACCTTAAGAACTGGCAAAATTTGCTGTAACTTCTTTTTTCCACTCTACCTTTAAAAGTACGTATTTAATGTCATTTCTCATTTGTGCCTTACTGGTCTGTTTCTAGTTGCTGTGTGTGACTTCTTTTCTCGCATCTCATCAAAATCCACATTAAAAAAAAAAACCAAAAAACTCTAATTTAAAAAGAAAGCCCGGTGCTTTAGGATTTTTCAGGGTTCACCTCCTTAGAGTGTCATGTGACCTGCTGTCCTCAAGGGGGCACAGCTTCCTCTGAAAACTTTTTGCCCAAGGATCAATAATGATCTCCCTCCCTCCCTCCTTCCCTCCTTTCCTTCCTTCCCCTCTCTTTCTTTCTCTCTTTCATTCTTTACTTTTCTGATCCCTTCCTTTCCTTCCTTCCTCTCTCTTTCTCTCTTTCTTTCATTCTTTACTTTTTTGGTCCCTTTCTCTTTAATACAAGGTTCAAATGTGACTTGAATAAAGGCCAAGTGATATTAAGTAATATGAATGTAGGTAGTCTGCTCTTAGGTACTATCCCAACTGTGTGGCACACTTGGCTGACAGTAGTCAGGCAGTTTCCCTATCTTGATACTGCTGCTTACTTTCTCCACTAAGATCAAGTCCCAGTGATGAGGCCCATTTTCTTAAACCACATGTTTAATTTTAACCCAGGAAATTCTGCAGCGTCCACCCCTACAAACCTAGACTTGCCTGAGGTGAAAGGTCAGGTGACCCCCAAGCCTGAGGGCAGCAGCCAGCCTGCCAAGAAGGCCAGAGTGGCTGTGAAAGCAAAGCAGCAGTTGGAGAAACGGCAACATCCCAAGAAGGCCTCTTTCCAGAAGCAGAATGGCATCTCCAAAGGGACAGACTCAGGATTGTCCCCTGTATCTTGTGACACAAAGTCCCAAGCTTCTTCCAAGGTCCAAGACAGCAGGCAGCCAGCTCGAGAAGCTGAAGTGATCAGGAGACCAAAGGCGGCTAAGAAACGAAAGCAAAAGTCAGCTACGCCACTGTCCTCCAAGAAAGTCGCCTTCCGGAAGCAGAATGGGCCTAAGGGCACGGACACAGAAGTGTCCCTTTCCAAGACCCAGGCCACTCTCAAGCCTGAGGACTGTGATCAGTCCCTTCGAAACACCAAAGGGGCTGAGAAGGTAAAGCAGCAGTTGCCAGAACAGCCTTCCAGGAGAGCTGCCTTCCAGAAACAGAATGGCACCCCCAAGGGACTGGAGACTTCCACCATGTCCTCCCGTGGTTCCAGCCGGCCCCCAGCAGCAAAGAGGAGAAAGTCTCAGTCCAGAGGCAGCAGCTGTCCAGTGTTGTCTTAGATGAATGGTTGAAACTAGACTGGGGTGGCTCATTGCTGTGGGCACTGGGTTGGAACTCTTACCTCTGTGAGGTTGGCATCCCCGCTGTGTATATGAAAACTAATACACATTTTATAATCTCTGGCCACTGTGTGTTTTTTGAGGCAACTGGGTACTGGCTTTGCTGCTTTAAGGGTAGTGGTGGGAGGGTGGGACAGGGCCCCTCGGAAGAGAGGAAACTGGTATACTGAGAAATCCGTTTCAGGCTCCTGGGCTCCCTTGGTCTCCCCAGGGTCCCAGGGAGGGAGAGTCCTGGAGTCAGCTTAGGGTGTTTGGACTCTGGGGAGAGGAGGGCAATAGGGGTGTAGGGAGGATGGGCATCCTGCCACCAGAACCCATGGAATACTGAGGGACCTGGGTTTTATTTCTCTGCCACCCTGGCATGCGCGCATGTGGACTGGGGTCCGCTCGGCGTCGGACCCGGAAAGGTCCAGGTGCCAGCCTCCAACTGAACCTTTCATTGGCTTCCTCTCTGCCCCGCCCCGCCCTCCTGACCTCTGTCCCTTCCGTCGAGCCGTCTGATTGGTTGTGCCGCGTCCCCCTGGCGCCTCATTGGCTCTTCTCCCTCGCCCTCCATCCCCGCTCCTGTAGCGGTCTCCGTCTCCCAGCAGAAGACGCAGCCATGAATCCGTTATTCGGCCCCAACCTCTTCCTCTTACAGCAGGAGCAGCAAGGCCTGGCCGGGCCGCTGGGGGACCCTCTGGGAGGCGACCACTTCGCCGGGGGAGGGGACGTGTCCCCGGTGCCGCTCGCCCCGGCCGGCCCGGCTGCTTACTCGCCGCCCGGGCCGGGCCCGGCGCCCCCCGCCGCCATGGCTCTCCGCAACGACCTGGGCTCCAACATCAACGTGCTCAAGACCCTGAACCTCCGGTTCCGCTGCTTCCTGGCCAAGGTGCACGAGCTGGAGCGCCGCAACCGGCTGCTGGAGAAGCAGCTGCAGCAGGCGCTGGAGGAGGGTAAGCAGGGCCGGCGGGGCCTGGCTCGCCGCGACCAGGCCGTGCAGACCGGCTTCGTCAGCCCCATCCGGCCCCTGGGGCTGCCCCTGAGCGCCCGGCCCGCCGCCGTTTGCACCCCTTCGGCGCGGGTGCTGGGCTCGCCCGCGCGTTCGCCAGCCGGCCCCCTCGTGCCCTCCGCGGCCTGCCACTCGTCGCCCTCCACCTCCACCTCCACCTCCTACTCCTCGTCAGCCCGCTTCATGCCCGGCACCATCTGGTCCTTCTCTCACGCCCGCCGTCTCGGGCCGGGACTGGAGCCCACGCTGGTGCAAGGGCCTGGCCTGTCGTGGGTGCATCCCGACGGGGTGGGCGTCCAGATCGACACCATCACCCCCGAGATCCGCGCGCTCTACAACGTCCTGGCTAAAGTGAAGCGCGAGCGGGACGAGTACAAGCGGAGGTAGGGGACCGGGGAAGTGGGGACGGGGTTCAGTGTCATGCCACACGTGGGGCCAAGACCAGGTGTGGATTCGAGAGAGAGAGCAGTGCGGCCCAAGAATCAGGGAGGAATAAGATGAGCGTAAAGTTCCTGCTGTGTAAGGAGGAGCTTGGAAGTAGACGGAGTTGGGTACAGGAAGACGGGGATCCACAGGGAATGCAGAAGTCGTACTCGTGACAGGAAGAAGGATACTCGGAGCCGAGTACTGTGGGGCATACATATTTTTCTTGTGGCTTTTCTTTCTGTCTCACCTAGGCTGCAGTGTTTGGATGACTGTGTTCACTGTGGGATTGTGTGCCGTGTGAAAGGGACACGCGTTTGAGAGGTCACATCTGGGGTACTACTTTGCCTCTCTCCAGGCTCAGCCCCCAGAGCAGTTTTGTGATAGATGCTCCACATTACTGATCAAAAGTAAGAGACCAGGGATATCGTTTTCATTTGGGAATCTAAGTGAAATTAGAAGGGAGTGGCGGGGGCGCTGCATCTGGCAGTGGGCGATCCTGCCACTGCTCCGGGTTTCCCAAAGTGATGTCGATGGAAACTGGGTACCTACTCCAGTTCCATATGAAAGGCTCTGGGGACCTCAGAACATTGCTTGGAGTAAGTCAATAAAAGAAAAGTAAAATAAAGAAAAAAGGGAAAAGGGATTCCCTAGGGAAAGGGGAAGGGACTGCTAGTTGTCAGAGGGCTTGTGGAAGCTGGGGGACTCTCTGAAAGTGCAAAGAGCCAAAGGATGACAAAATGTGAGTGAAGCCAGCAGAGGAACTGAGTGGGGGAAAGTTGAGAATCTGGACACACCCTGTGAGGATAAGGCAGCTGGGGGGCAGGCCCAGTGCTCTCCGAGGATGAGGATTTGGCTTTCTGCAGGGGACTGGCAGGGTAGCACAGGGGGCCAGGGGAAAGGACGTGATGCTGGTGCTGGCTGTATACCAAGTGGATCCCTTAGTGGCCTGATAACCCAGCCATTAGGAGGGAGCGTGAGCACAGCCAGCTCTCTGTAGACTCGGTGACGGATGCCATGGTTGTGGAGGGAGATGACAGGTCAGAAGGAGACTTTATTTTGGGAGCAATCAGGTTTAACCTCTTAATGGGCTCCTCTGACCCCCTATGGGCAGGCTTGGGAACTACCCTAGCAGCCCTGGGTAGCGGACGCTGGTGCGTTGGCTGGGGCTTGGCTGCATGTTCCAGGAGCTTGCCTCTGGGTCTGGGGGCAGCCTTCAGGGATCTGTAGCCTGCCGGAGTCCAGCAGGTCTCAGATCTGTAGGCTTTCTGAGGTTGAGTCCTGTCCTTCGCCGTAGCTCATGTTATAAGCGCCTCTGGGAGTCTCAGTTCTCTGAAAGCCATCATTCAGATGCCACCCAGAACCAGCCTGCCCCAGCCCCTGTAGGAGTTAATTAACACGGTCAGCAGCAGAACACGGACAGTTCTGGAATGCATCCATAACCACAGAAACAACTGCTGTTCTCGGGTATTTGTTTTTTCTTAACTGAAAGAGTGTTTGTCCTTGGTCCAGCTGTCCAGGGCAGCAGAGAGTTATTCCTTGGGGATTGATGAGCTCATCGCTCTGCAGCATGCTGCTGTGCAGAGGGCCCCGCAGCTAGAGTTGTATGGTACGTGACACTGGCAGTTACTCATTCTTCCACCCCAGATCCTCTGCCCTCGTTCTGTTCGCTTTAAAACACCGTGGCTCCTGTCCGTGGCCCCGAAGGCATGAGGATAGCTTGAGCACTAAACTGGGAGGGAGCTGAGGCCTCCTGGGTTCTATTTTCAGCTCCCCTGCTATGTGCAACCTTGGGTGGATCTCTTCCTCCTGGCCTCCCTTTTTCCAGTGTAGGAATGGACCCTGCTTCCTCACTTTGCTCAAGGATACCATTTATTTGGGAGGGAGGTCTTTAGTAAAGGTAGAAGACACGGAAATTCCTCAAATCCTACTCATGTCAAGGGAACCTTGTAAGTGAGACCAGATTTGAATGGAGGTCCCAGAAGGAACCTATTTGTGGGAAAGTCTGGCTGGAGAACAAGTAGAATTCTAGTAAGCTTCCAGGGGCACCAGGCTGGCTCAGTCAGGAGACCATGTGACTTTCGATCTCAGGGTTGTGAGTTTGAGCCCCACACTGGGTGTAGAGATTACTAAAAATAAATAAATAAACTTTAAAGAATTCTAGTAAGCTTCCAGATGATTTATTTTCAGATTTTTTTTTTTTTTTTTTTTTACTCTGTAAGATTTTGTTCATCTCAATCCTCCCCTAACTTCCTTACTTAAATTTCTACCTGAATCTGTTGCTTCCTACCCTTCCTGATGCATCTTGCCCAGGGTCATTGTCCCCTTGCCAGTCTTGCTTCTTCCTCCAGGGACTCACAGACTCAGGGGTATGAGGGTACCACATCCCATGCCTTCAGGTTGTAGATGAAGAAACCACAGGCCCAGAAAAGATAAATATGTCTTATCTGTGAAAATATATAACTTGACGCTGCTAGGGCCCCTCACCGGCCCCAGCCATCTGATGGAGAATACCAGAGCAAAAGGAGGAAGGACAGGGGGGCAGCAAGGAAGGGTGGGCAGAGAGCCAACGGGCCCGGGACCTGGGCTGCATGACGGGCCAGCAAGGTGGCGGCCGGGCTGGCTGCCTCGCCCCTGCCCACGAGGGAGGGGCAGTGGGTGATGCAGAGGAGTTATTATTAGGAACACTGCAGTGCAGAGCCCAGTGAGGAGCAGGAGGGCATGGAGCGAAGAGGTTGTGGGCAGAGCCCAGAGGAGAGAGGAGGGCGAGGTGGGGGAGAGATGGAGCGGGGGGAGGGAGGAGAGTCCCACGTCTGCAGAATCTGCTCGGTCAGGCTTTCGTTTCCTTGCTGTCGTCTTTGTGGCTTCTGGCCACCTTTCTGACCCCGCGGTTTCTCTTGTGGTACCGTGCCCTCCTTTCTCAGCCTGGAAGAAGTGGCAGGAGGTGATGGGTTGTCTGAATGGGGTCTGAGAAGTTCTCCCAGCCCGGGCACCCTCGCAGAGTCTTGAATCCCCCAGCAGTGTGCTGCCCCCAGCTCGGCCCTTCCACCTCTGCCACGCCAAGACTTGTGCACTGGTTTGCGGTGGACTCACGTCTAGTGAAAGCCCTAGGCCTATGCAGCAGACCCTGCCTGTGGCCAGGGGGTGCCTCTTAGCTGCTTGTGGTCCTAGTCTTGGAGTTCTGGAGCCTAGGAGATGCCGCTTCTAGTTCCCAGCCACCGGATGAACGGATTCTTCCTACTCTGATTTCCCTCGCCCTTGGGGTTTGGGTGCCTGGGACCCCCAGGCTCCTGCTTCCCACTGCTTTCATGCCTCAGGAGCAGCCCCATCACCTCTCCAGGGCTCCCGGATGGGGCTCCGGGAGGGCAGTTTCTGGAGCTTGCGGGGGGATGGACTTTGAGTGTCTCCTACCAGGCTCTTGACCAACCCTGTTGATGTGGTGTGTGTCCTGCAGCTGCTTCTCAGGATGACACGGCTCCACGGGAGGAGCCCTGGGCTGGTGTGGGCAGGAGGCGGGAGACCGGATCTGTGTCCCTGAAGGTGGCCTGGGGGTCTGGTGCGGGCCCGAGCGGGGAGGAGGCCAGCCGGGCAGCCGGCTGAGCCAGGGCCCGAGCGGGACGGGCGCTGTAACGGAGCAGAGTGGCAGCAGTTCGTCTTACACGGTTCCTGGGGCGCGGCCCAGAGTTGCCGGGCAGGCAGGAGGTGGGCTTGCACTTGCCAGGAAGCGTGGAGCCACCCGACAGCTGTGGCTGGCCACCCACGGACCAGCCGGTCCTTACCCACGGCTCCTGTGCACCCTGGGCACCAGAGCTAGAGTGGGAGAGAGGCCTGAGCCGGAGGGGTGAGGAGCAGGGAGCCGCTGGGGCGGGACCCTGCACCTAGGCTCCCTCCCTGTCCCCCATGTCTGCCAGGTGGGAAGAGGAGTACACTGTGCGGATACAGCTGCAGGAGCGAGTGAACGAGCTCCAGGAGGTGAGGGCTGGCCCACCCCACCCCCCCGCCCCCGCTGCACCCCCCTGCCCGGGCCTCTCTGGGTCCTTCCTTGCTGGCACCTGCCTCCCGCGTGGGCAGCACCGCTCACGGGGCTTTCTCCCTGACTGCAGGAAGCCCAGGAGGCCGATGCCTGCCAAGAGGAGCTGGCCATGAAGGTGGAGCAACTGAAAGCTGAGCTGGTGGTCTTCAAGGGGCTCATGAGCAACGTGAGTGCAGCCCCCTCACGCCTGCGACCGGGTAGAGCAGGCCTTTCTGGCTTGGGCCTGTGGATTTCCTGGCCACAGCCCTCACCCACCTTGCTGTGCTTCCGTCTCCCCCCGGCCGGCCCCCCACCCCACCCTCATTCAAGAGGAAAGGAAGGAACAAATGCTTGGGTGTCGGTGTCATACGCGAGAGGCAGTATGGCCTGTCAAGCAGTTAGTTAAGGGGCTGGACCCCGGCTCTGCAAGCTGCCTGCAGGGTGGCGTTGGTGAAGGCCTTCTGTGCCCTCCTCTGTGGAATGGGACCGGAAAGGCATGTTCCCTGGGGGTCCCAGGCACCCAAACCCCAAGGGCGAGGGAAATCAGAGTAGGAAAAATCCGTTCATCCGGTGGCTGGGAACTAGAAGCGGCATCTCCTAGGCTCCAGAACTCCAAGACCTAGGACCACAAGCAGCTAAGATGCACCCCCTGGCCACAGGCAGCGTCTGCTGCATAGGACTAGGGTTTTCACTAGACTTGAGTCCACCGCAAACCAGTGCACAAGTCTTGGCGTGGCAGAGGCAGAGTGGTTGCGGAGATGATAATGCACTTAGGACCGTGCTGGCCCAGACCTCATGCTGAATAAGTGTCGGCCATCCTTCTTGCAATACTTCCTCCGCTCTTGTAACTCCCTGTGGTCTCTCCCTCTGGGAGCATAAGTTCCAGGGGGGAGCCCCTGCAGGTCCTGGGCCGTGCCCTCCGGGGCTCCCCGTCTGACCAGTGGCCTGAGCAGCCCAGGAGTGCTGTGGGGAGGGCATCCAGGAAGCGGGGGGCAGCGGCGGTGTGCGACTGCAGGGGTGAGGGTCTTGGCCTTGTCTGGGGTGCCGGCGGCCGCCTCACTGTGCCCCGCATTCCCTGGACAGAACCTGTCTGAGCTGGACACAAAGATCCAGGAGAAGGCCATGAAGGTAGATATGGACATCTGTCGCCGCATCGACATCACCGCCAAGCTGTGCGATGTGGCTCAGCAGCGCAACTGTGAGGACATGATCAAGATGTTCCAGGTGAGGGGACGGGGCTGCCCACAGGCTCCGGGCCCCTGCCCATGCCTGCCCAGTGCCTCAGCTCCTCACGGGAGGGGGCGCAGGCCCAGGCCCTTCCTTCTTGGGGGGCCTCACCCTGGCACTGGGGGCCCTCAGTGGGACTCGGCTGGGGGGCAAGGAACAGCCTCTGAAGAGAAGGTTCGGAAGCCGCCTCTAACACCGTCTCTCCCCTCCCTCCCTCTCCCTCTCCTCTGTCCGCCTCCTCTCCTCTCTTCCTTTCATCTTCTCTTGCTTTCTCCCCAGAAGAAGCTGGTTAGTTTTGCTCTCATGCAAGCTTTTTAACGTCCCAGTCCCAGTTTCTAAGCCACACCCGGGCCTTTGGCCGTCAGTTTTGACCCGCTGGGCTTTTGGGCCCCGAGTTCTTCTCCTGTCTCCGTTCTCCTCGCTCTTCCCCCTTTTCTCTACCTTGTTCCCTCTTTGCTTCATTTCTTTCTATACCTTCTCCTCTGGCTTCCCCAGATCTGGATGTGTGATTCAGGTTCTCCTTTGTGTACGCCGCATCCTTCCCTTCCTTGCAGCCTAAAACTTTCCTTTTAGTTCGGTCATTTCGTTAGAAAGGCTTTTTTTTTTTTTTTTTAAGAAAACAAATCTTCTGTGGCCATTATGCACATCTGATGTGGTCACCCCGGGCCATTTCTCCCCTGATCTTACCGCCCTATTTTCTCGGTTTCTCCTTTTTCTTCCTCCTCAGTCTGCAGTCCCGCCCCATCCGTGTGTGTCTGCCTGTCTCTCGGTAACTCCGGTTTCTGTTCCTGTTGTTGTAACTGTCTTCTCTCTCTGTCCGCCCCCCCCCCGCCCGCTGGTTCACGCTTCTCCGCCCGCCCTGCCCGCGCCCACCCGCCCTTCTCCTCACGCACCCGGCCTCGTCTCTGTAGTCTCTGCACTTGTCTCCCATTAAGGTCCCATCCATGGGGGGGCGGAAGCGGGAGCGCAAGGCTGCCATCGAGGAGGACACCTCCCTGTCGGAGAGTGACGGGCCCCGCCAGCCCGATGGGGATGAGGAGGAGAGCACAGCCCTCAGCATCAACGAGGAGATGCAGCGCATGCTCAACCAGCTGTGAGTCCCGAGTCCCGCAGGCCCAGCCCTCAGCAGCACACCCCGCCCCCCGAGGCCGGAGCCCCCCCCACCCAGCCCGGCAGAAAGGCCCCCCGCCCTCCTTGACGGCGGGTTCCCTGTCTTCAGGAGGGAGTATGATTTTGAGGACGACTGTGACAGCCTGACTTGGGAGGAGACTGAGGAGACCCTGCTGCTTTGGGAGGATTTCTCAGGCTATGCCATGGCAGCCACAGAGGCGCAGGGAGAGGTAACGGCCCCTCCCGGCCTCAGGGCCCCCGCCAGTCCTGCCCACCCGCCCCGCAGCTGGACGCCCCGCCCCCTCCCTCGCCTCCCTGCGCTCCTTGCTGCTTTCCCTCTGTGGCCTCCGCCCTCCACCTGCTTCTGCCCTCTTCCTTTATCCTTCCTTTCTCTGGGCTTTCTCCAGTCTCCTTTAACCGGACTCTCTCTCTCTCCCCCGCCTTGGCCCTGTGGAATGCCCCCATCCCACCCTCCCCATTGGCCTCCCCCTTGCTTCCCTTTTCTGCACCAGCAGCAGGAAGACAGTTTGGAGAAGGTGATTAAAGATACGGAGTCCCTGTTCAAAACCCGGGAGAAAGAATATCAGGAAACCATTGACCAGATAGAGGTAAGGCCGGCGGTCTCTGAAGCTGCGGTCCTGGGAACCCCAGACGCCAGGCCTTCTCCTTTCTCTTATGGGGGTGGAGCCTTCAGACCTCAGGCTCTGGCGGTGGGGGGGGGCGGACAGATGTGGGTTCCAGCCTCAGCCCTGTCGCCTCCAACTTCTAACGGGCTACTTACCCCCTCTGAGCCTGTTTCTTTATTTGTCAGGTGGGATCTTAATCGTACCTCCCTTACAGGCTTGCCTGATATCCAATGAAGGCAGTGCCTGTCTCCTGGGAAGCTTACTGTCCGTGCCGTAGCAGAGACCACTAAGAAGTGGACTCGAACTTTGCTGTTTCTTCAGCTCAGCCTTTCAGTGGATGGAGGACCCTCTGTTGTCATTCCCTAGCCTGCAGGGAGCTTCCTGGGTGGGCAAGGGAAGCTGGTCCTCTAACTTAGAGCTAGGTCTGCAGGGCCGTGGGTGGTGGGTTTGTGGCGCCCTGGGCCGAGGGGCGGTGGGGCGGGCGGGACGCGGTTCTCGGCGGCCTCCTGGCCCTGGAGAGGGCCCTTCCCTGAGCCCCGAGCGCCCCGGCTTGCGTGGGCTTCTGTAACTCTCGGCCTCTCTTCAAGCCCATGTGGCCTGTTTATACCCTTGCTGTTCTCACACTGCCGGGCATTTCGAGAAGGAAGTTGACAGATGATTTTCCTACTTGCACATTCCACACGGTCCTGCTCCTTGAAGCCAAACCTGCTTTTGTTTCTTGCCCAGGCAGACAGGCTGAGTTTTAAAGGCCTGCAGCCGAGGTGTCTGCTCCTGGCTGAGGAGAGGGGAGGGGGGAGCAGCTTTCTGTCCGCTCACAGACACCCATCTGGCGGTCTCCCTCTTGTCTTGCAGGAGGATGGCTTTAGGAGAGGTGTTGGGGGAGCTAGCAGGGGGCTTCGGGTGCACTGCTGGCCCTGATGGTTGCCCATTATCAGCGGTCAAGCCAGGGCCCAGGTGGAAGCAAGGTGGGAGGGAGTTCCTGCCGTCCTGTCTCCTTCCTCTCCATCGAGTCCCGGCACTCCCTGGGCCTCCGGTCCGACCGCGAGGCTGGGGTTTTCAGTGGAGGCTGTTGGGTACCTTGTAGCATGCGGTGGCCGCCTTCCCTCGCGTGTGAAGGAAGGGGACATGTACAGATGTGTAGAGGCAACGGGTGCCGGTCCTAGCCTCGTCTTTGGATAGAATAGATTTGCTTCATTTCCGTCTTTCCCGTTCTTGCGAGGGGTGGGCTCCAGAAGCTAGCCCCTTCCCCTCCCGCTCGCCTGAGCTGGAGAAGCTGGGGTGGGGGCAGCAACCAGGCTGCGCAGGAGCGGGGGACCTCCTCCTGTCTTCCCGGCTGAGCAGTCGCGCGTCCTGCTGCTCTGGCTCGCTCCCGCGTCCCGGCTCTGCAGCCAGAGCTGCTGTGCAAGCTGCCCCCGCTAGGGCTCCCGAGCCCCCCGGGCCGCCATCTCTAAACGTCTGGCCCTGTGACCCCGTGACTTTTTCCCCCTGAGTTCCCATCCTCTCCTTGTCCAGTTTGGATTAGTTCTGGGTGGTTTCCTCTATCCAGTTCGGATTATTCACGGGTAGTTTCCTACCCTTTCTCTTTGCTCCCAGGCAGTCAAGCAAATCACCTCCAAGCAGTTTTATTTAGCCTCTCGGTTGGCCCCTGTCCTTTGTACCCAAAACAAAGAGAGGCAGCAGATTGTCTCTGGCCCAGATCTTTCCCGCCTTCGGCCCCTCTCAACTCTGCATCTGCGAGGGAGGCCGTATTTCCTTGATTCTGAGGCCACGTTTCCCACATGGAACATTTCTTGAGTTGGGATACATCTCAGCTGTTTGACGTTGGGTGTGGCAGCAGTCTTCCCGTGAGGCGCTGCGGGCTCACACGAGAGACAAGAGCGATCGGGGGAGGATCGAGCCTCTGGCAGCAGGCACGCAGGTCTCCCTTGTGCCGTGAGGCTTGTCGCCACTTCTCGACGTTCACGAAGTCATTTCCCAGCGTGGTGCTGGGCCTGCACAGGCAGAGATGAGTAAGAGCCGCGGCCGGCCTTCCAGAAGCACCCAAATGAGTGAGGGAGTGCCGCGTTGCACGGGGGCCGCGGGAAGCCCAGGGAGGGAGCCAGGCCGCGCACAGAGGGCCGCCCGCCGCGGGCTCTCTGTCCTGCCCACACTTCGGTTCCTCTCCTCGGGGAGGCTCTGTTGCAAGAATGTGGGCCCGTAGCAGAACCTCCGCCTTCCTCTGAAGGCAAAGATTCCCGGGAAAACTAGGAGGAATGATGGTACTGGGGTGCCTTCTGGCTGGTCAGACTGGTTTTTAGATCTGAGCCTTTGCCCATGGCTGCCTGGGCCCCCGCCTGGTGGTGTTCTTCGTGTGTTCGCCTCCTGGGGGTGCGGGGCCAGGGCCCTGCTGACCTGCTCGGCCCTGCCCTGCCCCTGCCACAGCTGGAGCTGGCCACGGCCAAGAATGACATGAACCGCCACTTGCACGAATACATGGAGATGTGCAGCATGAAGCGCGGCCTGGACGTGCAGATGGAGACCTGTCGCCGGCTCATCACCCAGTCGGGAGACCGGTGAGGACCTCTTCTGGGGGCTGGGGCCCGGCCCACCTTCCCCCGTGTGTCTTCCTCCGGGGGCACATGCAGGGAGGGAGTGCGGTGGGCAAACCCTGAGCACCCCGAGACTCAGTCCCATCTCGACATGGGGCTCTTGTGGGAGGGCACCCGGTGTGTCTGGCCCAGCCCGGCAGCCTTCTCTCCCTCAGCAGTTCATGGCTGGACGGGCCGACACCTCCCAGTGCCGCCAGCTCTGGGGTTCCCGTGGTTAGAAGCAGCTCAAAACTGCCAAGGGACAGAAGAGGTGTGGGGGCAGATTTTTATCTGAAGTCAGGGCCACAGTTGGTGCATTTGACCCTGTGTAAGTTCTGTCTCTACAAAAAAGTCAATTTTAAAAAGTCACAAAAATACTACAGATAGACATAAAGCTGGGGCCATCAAGCCTGTGCACTCGGGCTCGGGTAACATCTCTCATACTGTGATTTGAGATCTTTCTTTCTTTTTTTTTTTATTTATTTGAAAGAAAGAGAGAGTGAGACAGCACGAGTGGGGGGAGGGGCAGAGGAGGAGGGGGAAGCAGGACCCCTAGATGATCTGAGCCACAGTCAGATGTGGGCACCGACTGAGCCACGCAGGTGTGCCCCTGTGATTTGAGATATTTCTGGACTCCGAACCTCCCAGAGTCTCCAAGATAAAGACACAGAGCCTATCCCCCATCAGGACGGGGGGTGAGAGCTTTCTTTCCCTTTCCCGGCTTCCCTCACCCTGCGTCCACCCTCACCCGGGGGGCCCTCCTGTCCTTGCCTGAGATGGTGTTCACCGGCCTGCCCGAGACTAAGGCCACGGGAGAGAGGAATGCCCTCCTCATCAGGATTCCTGCCTGCCCCAGGGTGACAACTGGTGTTTTTTTCTAGAAAGTCTCCTGCTTTCACTGCGGTCCCGCTTAGCGACCCGCCGCCGCCGCCACCAAGCGAGACTGAGGACTCCGGTCACGATGTCTCATCTGATAGCTCCATGAGATAGGGACCTGCCTCCAGCGCCCTGGGGCCCCACCGTGCTGGGAACTCACCGAGGCAGAGGGGTGGGGGGGTTCACAGCAGGGGAACATCATCCGTCTCGCCGCACCAAGCCTCGCCCCTGGGGACTGGGGCGCTCCTCCCTCGGGCTTCCTGCCTGTGACCTTGGCCTCCAGGGTTCTAAGGTGTCTGGAGCGAGGCTTAGCCCGTCCGTCCCAGGTGACTCCCCCCACAGCTGGGGCTCTCCTGCCTTCATGCGTGGGTGGCTGCTACTTTCTCATCTTTAAAATGCTGCCAGAGCGATCGTGGTCCCTTACTTTCTCCACTGAGTAAGGAATGTGATCGTCAGATCTTCCTTCCGTTTCTGTGGCCTCAAGCCAGTTTATGGTCTGATTCTGTACTGGTGCTAACTGGCCCAGGCATTGGTATGAAGTGGGTGAGGCTGGAGGTTGCATGGCTTATGCAACACATGCTGTGGGAGAGGGCCGCCCCCGCCCCCTTGGCGCAGGTGGGAGGACGGACTGGGCAGTGCCCTCCGTCCTCCGTCGGCCTAGTGCTCCCGGCCATCTGCCTGGGGACTGGGGATGGCGGCGATGTGGCGGCCGCCCTTCCCTCGGGCAGTGCCTGCCTTTGGGGGCCCTTAGTGCCTCCGTTCTGGGTGGCTTCTGGGAATGACTGGGTGCGGCGGCGTGGAGGGAGATGGAAGCCCCTGCTTGTTTCCCAGTCAGCGCTGAGTGGCAGAGAAAAAGGTGAAGCTACTTGCGCGTGCGTGTGTGCGCGTGCGTGTGTGCGCTCAGGGTCTCCGTCTCTTCAAGTAGCAGCTGAAGATGTGCCTCCTCCGTGTCTGTCACGCACTGAGAGCAACAGGCTGAGACGTCCGGCCTTGGAAAAGCTTGGGGGGCCCTGGGGGCGCGCAAACGAGGATACATCCCATCAGTCCGCCTGCCTGAGGGAGGCTGGGCTGACATTGGAATGGAATCTTTAATAATAATCAAACTGGAGAGTATTTATCGAACACTTTCGTGTCACTGTTTCAAGCACTTTCTGGTGGCAGCTACCTGATCCCTTCTGGGGGGGGTAAGGCCCTGCTCTTCGTCACCTGACACACAAGCAGGTGCCAAGTGAGGCTGGGGAGGTTGTAAGTAACTTGCCCCGGTTGAGCCCCAGCAGGGCCTCTGCCCACGTGGCTGGTGGCGGCCTGGGCACCGCCCCTGAAGCCCCCTCCCACAGATGCTGGCTCCCCTTCACACACCCCGGAAGTGCTGGCGGTGGGGGTCACCCTCGTGCTCCTGATCACGGGCTACACAGTGCTCAGCCGACGGGAATAGAATCCTTCTAGAGGACCCGGAGGGGCTGGGCCTGGCCTATCATTTCCCAGAGAGGGGGAACTAGGGCACACTAAGCAAGTGACAGTGCAGACCTCTCTGCTGTGAGGCAGAGTGGAGTCTGCATCTGGGCAGCTGCCCATTGGCAGCCAGGGAGCCAGTCAGGCCGCAGGACTCGCTAGCCCAGTTCCAGAACCCGACTTCCTGGGCCAAGGTTACCGTCCAGGTGGCTGCAGATAGAACAGCTTTCAGACAGAGGCAGCCAGGTCGTCTGGTGACAAAATGGACTTGCCCTCTGATGTGGTCACGTTGGGCCATGTAGCACCTAGGGGCCTTGGAGGGATACTAAGCCAAAGTGAAGACCAATCCCAATGGCTCTTAGGAGTGAGTGCAGTGCACGCACCTTTGTGAGGGATGCTCTCGGTTATGCCCAAGACGTCTGGTGGCGCTTATGCCTGGTTGGGGTATGCCGGGCCTTTATTGGGTCCTGTCCGCAAGATTGATTTCTCTTGGGCACCCAGCCTAGCTCCCCTCCCCTTTATCCCAGACCTCGGAATAAGCTAAAAAACCCAAAGAGTTGGCTGGGTACAGTATACTTTATTGATGGTACATGACAAGGTAGGGCTCCCCAAGCCCCTCCCCTTCTTCAGGGGGTCTGGGATGGAAACGGTGGAGGTCGGGAGATTCTCAGTGTTTTGCGGGATAAGTTGGGGCAGGGACTCCCCAGCAGCTGATGGCCTCTCTCTTCCTCTTGCTCTCGCTGGGGCTCGTGGTCCAGGGGGCTCTTACTCCTTGGAGGCCATGTGGACCATAAGGTCCACCACCCGGTTGCTGTAGCCAAATTCATTGTCATACCTGGAAAGATCAAGAGTGAAAGGCTATTTTCCCGAACCGGCCACTAGAGGGCGCCAGACGCGCGTCACGTCCCTAGGTGTTGCTCCACACGCGGCCACGTACCAGGAAATGAGCTTGACAAAGTGGTCGTTGAGAGCAATGCCAGCCCCGGCATCGAAGGTGGAGGAGTGGGCGTCACTGTTGAAGTCGCAGGAGACAACCTGGTCCTCAGTGTACCCCAGGATGCCCTTGAGGGGGCCCTCTGACGCCTGCTTCACCACCTTCTTGATGTCGTCGTACTTGGCCTGACAAGGTACAACCGAGATGGTTATTCAGGTTCCAATCTTGCCCGTTTCCCCCAGACGCCAATCCCTAGCGCACCACCTTCTCCAACCCCCACTTACAGCTTTCTCCAGGCGGCACGTCAGATCCACGACGGACACGTTGGGGGTGGGGACACGGAAGGCCATGCCAGTGAGCTTCCTACAGATGGGGGGGGAGGAGGGGGAACGGGGTCAGCACCAGTCCTCTGCCCCCCCGCCAAGACCCCCGGAGCAGAAAAGCAGCAAGGAGCCTCACCCGTTCAGCTCAGGGATGACCTTGCCCACAGCCTTGGCAGCACCAGTGGAAGCAGGGATGATGTTCTGGGCAGCCCCTCGGCCGTCACGCCACATCTTCCCAGATGGACCGTCCACGGTCTTCTGGGTGGCAGTGATGGCATGGACGGTGGTCTGCAAGTGCGGGAGGAGTGAGGGCCTGTGCAGTACTCATCACCTCACCCACCCTTGGGAAGAATTAAGGGGCAGAGTGACCTGACCTTGGAACCCCCAGGGCCCCGTGGCCACCCCCCCAGCCCAGGACCGTGTCCTAAGCAGAGAGAAAGACGTAAACCTGGGTGAGAAATCAATGGGCTCTGCACGCTTTCCCCAGCACTCGTACCATGAGTCCCTCCACGATGCCGAAGTTGTCATGGATGACCTTGGCCAGTGGAGCCAAGCAGTTGGTGGTGCAGGAGGCATTGCTGAAAAGAGGGAGGCACGTCAAGGGCGAGCAGGTCCATCTCAACACACAGTTATTTTCCGGCCACTTCTCCACTCCTCTCCCCTCTGCCAAGCTTACCTAACAATCTTGAGGGAGTTGTCATACTTCTCATGGTTCACACCCATCACGAACATGGGGGCATCGGCAGAGGGAGCAGAGATGATGACCCTCTTGGCCCCGCCCTTCAAGTGGGCCTGCAGTAGAGGAGTCATGACAATCCAGGCCCGCCCTTTCCTGGTCTAAGCCTGCAGTCCCCATGCTTCCCGCTGTACCAAATCCCAGGGTCACCCCTCCCATCTTTAGTCTCCCAGGCACTCACCCCAGCCTTCTCCATGGTGGTGAAGACCCCAGTGGACTCCACAACATACTCAGCACCAGCATCACCCCATTTGATGTTGGCGGGATCTCGCCTACAAGGGTAGACAAGACGCCAAGTTCAGGGACATGAGCTACTATGTACCCAAGGTGGTCCTCCCATCCTAGTACCTCCCTCAAAACAAAGTTCTTCCTGTTCCATCTTCCACACTTACTCCTGGAAGATGGAGATGGACTTTCCATTGATGACAAGCTTCCCGTTCTCAGCCTTGACTGTACCGTGGAATTTGCCATGGGTGGAATCATACTGGAACATGTAGACCTGGAGGGCGGGGAGGGGGAGGGGACAGTGAGCGGCTGCACTTCAGCCAGGCTCTGCAGAGCTCCGACACCTGCAGGGGCAGCACTCACCATGTAGTTGAGGTCAATGAAGGGATCATTGATGGCGACAATATCCACTTTGCCAGAATTAAAAGCAGCCCTGGTGACCAGGCGCCCAATACGGCCAAATCTGAGAAAGCAAGGGGCAAGAAGGAATGAGGCGGGGGGGAATCCTCCTGGGCATGGAAGCAGCCCAACTCCTCCTCTTTCAGGGGTTAGAGAATGGCACTTCCTGGGCACCAGAAAAGTCCCAGAAGGTCTAATTTTATCTTGCGAAACCCACCGAGACAGCCTGGCTTTACAGCCTGCCCAAGAGGTAATTAGGTTCAAACACCTGCCCAACTCCCCAGTGTCTCCAAGTCCTACCAGGAGAAACAGCAGTGCAGGGCATGGTCTGGCCACTGGGCATTTACCACCCCCACTATCTGTGCCCGGAGAATGCTTATGCTGGTCTGGCGCAGCTTCAGGATACACCCTCTGGGCAGCAGAGACTTGCACACTTAGCAACACCAAGCTCAAAGGTCAAGAGTAAAGGTCAGAAATTAACTGGATGGGGAAAGCCCACCCCTTCCTCCAAAATGGAAAGAGGAGTAAAAACAGCACTTCCCCACCCCCAATCTCAGGGCTCTAGTGTGCGAAGCTACCTGTCCTCGCAAGCCCTCTTCTAAAAATCAGAAGCAAAAGCAACAGATGTGTGTGTGAGAGAGGTAAAAGAGAGTAGAAGCCCAGGCCCCCAGCTGCAGAAAGGTCAGGCAGCTATATTTAACCCCAGATTAGAGTGGAGTGGGGATCTGATTTCCGGAAGATGGAATGGGGAGAAGGGCAGGATGCCCAAGGCTCACAGACACCTAATCCTCCCCGTGACCTTTATAGCCTTGGCCCTTAGGGATGGGTCAGCTCTAAGCATCGAAGGAAGAAGGGTGCTTTGAGGAGAGCCAGTGTGATGGCAGGGGCTGCCGCCACAGGAGCCATTTTGTGGTGGAAAATTTCTAACTACCCATGACTCAGCTCCCCCAACATGGCACTAAGCTGCAGCTACCACACCTCTCCGCATAAAGAAAAAAAAAGACAAAAAAGACTCCCTTATAGCCAGGTTTCTGATTCATCAAAGGCTCATCTAGGAAGAGCATCCCTGAGGGAAATCTGGTTGGCAGCTTAGGAGATGGTGTGTGGTCAGAGTTCTGAAGTCCAGCTCTTTCGAGAGCAAGGCTGCAGGAAGCCTTGCCTCACCTGGCTTACGGGACAGAGGCGACTCCACCCCACTGAGGCAGGCCGAGGAGCGTTAGTCATAGGCGAGGAAGGAGGAACAGTAAAGAGCTACGGGAAGTTTCCTAACGGTGATTCTTTCACTTCCTTCCCCGTTGCAACATGGCGGCTGGGTTACCGCAAACGAGCGGTCCCGGCGGGCTGCGCACCCAGCCGAGGTCCGGGAACCCGGGGCCGCGCCGGCGAGGTGGGGCGGGGGGGAGGCTGGGGGGAGGGGCGCCTCCCTGGCACGTGACCCCGCAGGGCGCGAAAGCAAAGAAAGAAGCCCCGGCCGGGGGATTAAGGGGACGGCTCCTAAGCCGGGAGGGCGGCACTCCCACGGATCCGAGGCAGGTGGGAGGGGAAGGCTGCGGGCGGCTCGAGCCGGCAGGGGCGGCGTTGCAGGAGACGCCACAGCCGGGGATGGGGTGGGGGCACGAGGCCCTCTGCGGCGGGAGACTCCTTCAGGTCAGAGCGCCGACCTTGAGTTCTCCTTGCGGGGGGGGGGGTAGGACCACCGCACTCACGTCCCCCACCCACGCGCTCACCCGGGCCGCAGGGTTCGATGCCCCACCCCAGGCCCGAACTCACCCGTTCACTCCGACCTTCACCATCGTGTCTCAGGGACGCGGCTGCGGAGAGAGGAAGGCGAGCATTAGAGCGCGGGGGCGGGCGGCGGCTGCAGTCCGGCCGCTGCCCTCCCCTCCCCCAGGCCTCCATTCCCACCCAGCGCTCGGGCACGTCCGTCCTCCCGCCCCTGCAATGCGGAGGTCCGGCCGGGCACGCCCGACCCGGGTCCACGAGCACCCCGGGCCTCCTTCGGAGCCGTGCCCAGGCCTCTCGCGGCTCTCCTCCCCCTGGCTTGGCCGGGCTTTACCTGGCACTGCACCAGAACGTGTGGCTGTCTGTCGAACGGGGAGGAGCAGAGAGCACTATCGGAGGCTGCAGTCTCAATTTATAGCGCCGGGGGGGGGGGGGGGGGGGGGGGAGGGGCCGTGGGGGCGCGGGCCCCGCCTCCCGCCGGCTCGCCCAGTCGGGGCCCAAGGGCGCGGAGGCCCTGAGCTACGTGCGCCCGTAAAGCTTCGAGTAGCCGGGCCCAATTTTTTTTTTTGGACCCGCCCGCTTCTTCCCGTGTGCACGCACCAAACGTGTGGGCTAGTGACGGAGTGGGGGAGGGGACTGAGACCAGCCTAGGGGAGGAGGTCATCGCTAATGGCACTCGTGGGCATCCTGTGGGCATGCAGAAGACTTTGGACCCCAGGACCGGGCTCCTGGTGACAACGGAAAGCCTCCGGGAGCCAGGGCCATTAAAATTGCTGCACAGATGAAACGGGAGGACTTTGGGAACTGGTGGGATGGGGAATTGGAGCCGGAGCCGGGACCCCTCGCGGTTGCACGCGGCCACTCCCGTCCCCTTTCTTTCAGAGGCCGAGAGGCGGGAAGGCTGAGGAACTTCTCCTCAAGGCTCTTCGGTAGTGGCGGGGGAACCGCAGAGGAAAAGGCCCGGGAGGGGTCCGCCTGCCTTCTGCCGGGCTCTGCCCAGCCCCCACTTCCCCCTTTCCAGGCCCTGTCTCCCCGCCTTCCTGGGCCGGGGGCCTGGAGAGGAAGGAGGCTCGGGAGGTGGCTGGGGGTTGGGGGGAGGTTTCTGCACTGAAGGTCACGGTGTCCTGCAAGCTCGGGCAGCCGGGAGAGCTGATAATTGGGGCGGACAAACCAGGCCCTGTTGCACCAGCTGCACCAGCTGCTCTCCCCCAGGCGGGGCTGGGCCGCAGGGGGAGGACGCCAGGCGGGAGGCCTCCCACAGAGTCGCTGCTGGGGGACCTGAGTGCTGTGCTGCCCAGGCCGGGAGACAGTGCCCCTTTCACCGTCCCCAGCCCCGGCCAGAGAGGGGGACGTGAGGGCGGAAGTCCCTCCCCATCCTGGGACGTGCCGGCCAGCCCCAGAGCCAGGGACTCCCCTTTCCTGCCTGCGCGCCCCGGGGATGTTGGGGGCAGGGTGAGGAGTCCAGAAGAGGGAAAGAATTGGGAGGTCTTGGGCACGTGGTGGGAACCGGCCCCCAGCCCCACGCGAGGTGTAGAGGGAGGGATCCATTCTCCTCCAACAGTCGGGAGCCCCAGCTGTGCCGGTTTTGCCAGCTGAAGATGGAAGAAGGGCTCCGTTCAGAATGCTTGAGCCGAGAACGAGGGTTTGGAAGGGGGTGGGGTGGAATGGACATGGCCCATCAGCAGGTGCTGGGGGCTGGGGATCCAGGGACCTCTTTGCTGGCCCAGCGTAACCTGAGACCAGCCCCCTTTTCTAGCTGAAGAGTCTGCGTTAAGTTTAGCCCGCCTGGTGATAACCTTTGCTTAAAAGGCAGAGAGCTTGCTCTCCCGCACCCCGACTCCAACCCCCCAGTCCCTGCCCTTTCTGGGACTGCCCTCCCTCCTTGGGGCCCCAGAGCCAAATCTATATCTGCCTAGCAGCCATGTGCATGGTCGGTTCCCAGGCTTTTCACAAACCCCAAGAGCAGGGCCAGAGGGCACCTAATGGTGATGGGCCGTGGGAAGCGCCACAAGCAATGGGCTGGGGCCTGGGGTAGGGACTCTGCTGCTAACCCTTCCATTCCTGCTCAGGTTCAACCACGACCATTAACCCTTTCCCTTCAGGGCCCCTCCATGCTCCCACACTACCTAGAATGTGTGGCTGAGCTCCCATCTCCCTTTTTGCCACATGCATGTCCTTTCTCATTAGTGTCTTCTGCCAAAAAGGGAGCTCGGTGCCCGTGGAGCATTACTGATGCAGTTTGCCGTTGTCATGACAGCAAAGACACCAGTGTCTTCATGAGAGCACGCTCGCTGCCTCCTGGTCCAGGTGACTCAGCAGAGCAGACTTGGGGAGCTGAGGGGGTGGGCAGGCTAAAACAGTGCCTGCGTGAGGTGCTGACTTCCCACAGACCCCGTCACAGTCAAGTGATGCCTTGGTAGGCAGACAGTTTCCACAGATGGTGGAGGGGACCTGATCTTCCATCGGCCTGGTGGCCACCTGTCAGTCACCTGTCCCCGAGTCGGACTCAGGGAGCACAAATGGAGGGGAGCACAAATGGAGGGGAGCACAGAGACCAGCCCCTGGTCTAGAGAGGGGTTTCTCCACCTCAGCACCACAGATTGACGCTTTGGGCTGAATCGTTCTGTTGTGGGGTCTGTCTTCTGCATGATACCTTATCTAGCAACATCCCTGGTCTCTCCCCACTAGATGCTGATAGACAGCATCCCTCCCACCTAGGTTGTGACGACAAAAAAATTTCTAGGCATTGCCAAATGTCTCCTGGAGGGCAAAACCGCCCCCAGGTGGAGCGCGTTGATCTGGAGACCAGACACCGCGTGCTTCGCTGCCGTGGAGCAGTCCTGTCACTTGTGCAGTGTGGGGAGGTCGAGAAGGGGAAGGTGAGGCACCGAGGGAGAATGGAGCTTATCCGATCTTGAGATAGGCCCCAGGACTTTGGGGCTCCTCTTTCTGGATTGATAATCCTCTCCCTGCCTCCCGCATCTGGGCCAATGTGAAAGACGAAACAGACAAGCCTAGGAAAATGTCTAAAAGTATATAAAAACATTTATTCACTAGGAAACAGACTGGCAGACATATATTCCAGTGAAAGCAGCTCAATTCAGTTCAGCTGGGCTAGTTTAAGAGAGACGCTTTACATTATAAAGACCATTATATATTAAAAAGACAAGAAGACAGGCAAACAAGTATTTTACAAGAGCAATGGACTTCTAGGTCACACCACAAGACACCCTGCACAGCAGGGACGGGAACAGGCAACACGACCTCTTAAGGCCTGTGCCTTCGAGGAGGTGCTCGGCGGATGGGTGTGGTCTTCTTGGGTGTCTCATCTTCTGTCATCTCTGCTGAAAGCTCTACTCAGAGGATTGGAGGAATGAGAAAAAGCTGAGTCACAAAGATGGTGAAAAGTAGATCTCAGGCAATAAGTGGGACGGCCCCAGACCACGCAGCAGAAACAAAACCCAAACTGTGTGTGGGGAAGACACCTCGGGGGAGGGGGTGGAGACAATCTACACAGCAGGACCCCAGCAGAACCGGCCTCAGCCCCCAAATTACGCCCCCTCTGGACCAAGGCCGGGAGGGAGCATCATACCTTCCTCGCTGGACTCATCACTTGAGAAGACGATTCTCGGTTTCTTTTTTGAAACTCGCTGTTGAGTGTTTCGATGCCGATGGGCAGTACGGCGGGGCTCGGGGGTGACAAAGTCACCGTCTGATGAGGCTGCAGAAGCCAGATGCTGGTGCCGCTTAGAGACTGGAAAAGGCAGAGACACGAGTCCCCAGAAAAGGAACCTCTGAGAGGAGGGCCAGGTCTCTCACCCGTGAGGCTGTCTCACGTACCAGTGGACGGTTTCTTGGCTGATGGGGCTCTCTGGCTACCCCCTTGGCCAACCTCAAGGTCTTCTACTGCATCCAACCCTCTGGTGTGGCAGACGCGAAGCTTCTGTTCAAATTCATCTATTATAGCCTGGAAGGGAAGAAGAGATGAAGAGCAGGCCTGGAAACACAGTTACTTCTATGATGGAAAAGAAACAAGTCCATGCAAAGACATGGTGAAAACTTAAATGTAGATCACCGAGAGAACCTAAGCTGAGAGAGGTACATACTGCATGACTGCAAGTATAGGATGTTCTGGAAAAGGCAGAACTGTGGCAACGGTAAAACAAATAAGTGGTTGCCAGGGGTTGGGGGGACAGAGGGTCAGTGGCGGAGCATAGAGGACTTCTTTGGCAGTGAAACTGCACCGTATGATACTAGCATGATGGACACAGGGCATTACACACTTGTCCAAACCCACAGAATGCACACCAAGAGTGACTTAGGGACTTTGGGTGATAATGACGTGTCAACACAGGTTCCTCGATTGTAGCAAATGTGCCACTTTGGTGGGGGACGTTGATCGTGGGGAAGGCTGTACATGTGTGGGGGCAGGGGGGCATATGGAAGAATTCTATACCTTCCATTCAATTTTGCTTTTGCACCTAAAACTGCTCTAGAAAATAAAGTTTATTTTAAAAAAGAGAAAAAGAAACAAACGGGAATTGGAGACGGAAAGAGCCAGTCTCAGGTGGTGCCGGTGACTTGGTTGCAGTGTGGGCCGGGGCAGGTGAGGCGGGCCGGGCCTGTTTGGAGGGCGGCCGGCAGCCAGGCTCACCTTGCCCTCGGGCTTGGCCCCACGCCGCAGCTTGCCCACGACCGACAAAAAAGCACTGAAGATGGACTCATCTGACAGTTTATCCCCAAAGCAGTCAAAGTTGTCCAGCATCTTGCGGAGGCCTCGCTCTGTGAGGGGCAGCTGTGACACACAGTAAGCCAGGTCCCGGTACTGCCGCTCGGTCCTGCAGACGGCAAGGGCCCCGTGAGGAGCCGCGGGGCGGAGAGGCAAAGGCCCGTCCTTCCTCGGCAGGCTCCCACGGCCTCAGGGCCGCCCCAGGGGTACGGCAGCCTACCGGGCTGTGCGGAAGCGCAGGCATAGCTTCTCCACCAGGCTCTCGGTCTGCTTGTCCTTGGTGATGTAGGAGAGGAGCTGCCTGAGGGAGGGGAGATGTGGGCATGTGAGGTCCCAGGGGCAGCCATCCCTCCCCCAGCACCAGCCCTCTGTCACCCTCCTGGCCATTCCTCCTGCCCTCTTCCTGTGCCCTCAGAAAAAGGTCCACCCCACCCCCAGAGAAATGTTCACCGAGAATGGGAATTTATAACAAAAGCAGCTGCCGGATGGTGAGGACCACTATGTGCCTACCACCATGTTAGAAACGTGATTGCGCTGAATCCTCTCAAGAACTAAGGGGCAAGTATCCTAGGCCTCATTTCCTAGAGGAGGAACAGGCACAGAGAGGTTAAGTCATCGCTCAAGGCCATATAGCTAAAAAGTAGCAGAGCTAGAATTCAAACACAGGTTTGTCTGATTCCTAAGCATGTGCTACATGAAAAATGTGCTCCCAGGCCCAGGGAACCGTACTTCATGATGGTGTGGAAAGGCTCTTCCTCCACCCCTCCCTCGGGGTCTGACAGGCGGCTGATGATATCTGGAAGGAGGTTATAGATCGCATTGCCCTGGGGGAGAGAGTCACGTCAGAGAGACGGTGGTGTGCCTGTTCCCTCAGCAGCTGCCTGGTTGCCTCTCACCTTGTGGGAAAGCTCATTGAAGAAGTTCTTGGCCAGGGCAGCGATCTGAGGCACGGGGTCGATGAGCAGCACGGCCATCTCGCTCACCTGCCCCTTTACCTTCACCATGTCCTTTAGAATCAGGTGGGTCATCACCAGCCCCGCTGTTCTCCGAACTTGCTGAGCTGGGTCCCGGAGCCTGACAATGAAATCTTAAGTCACTGGGACCAACGCTGGCAGGAAAGGCCCTCAGCAGGAATCTATTACCCCTTCTTTTTTTTTTTTTAAGTAATCTCTACCCCCAACGCGGGGCTTGAACTCATGACCCCAAGATCAAGAGTCTTATGCTTGGGTGTCTGGGTGGCTCAGTCGTTAAGCGTCTGCCTTCGGCTCAGGTCATGATCCCAGGGTCCTGGGATCGAGCCCCACATCAGGCTCCCTGCTCAGCGGGGAGCCTGCTTCTCTCTCTCCCACTCCCCCTGCTTGTGTTCCCTCTCTCACTGCCTCTGTCAAATAAATAAATAAAATCTTTAAAAAAAAAAAAAAAGAGTCTTATGCTCTACTGATTGAGCCAGTCAGGTGCCCTTCTATTACCCCTTCTTAACGTGACATCCTAGAAGCAGTTAGAAAATGGATTGGGGAAAGAGGCCAAGCTTGTAGGCAAGGCTTTGGATAAAGGCGCCAATCCCTTTGGGGCCATATTTAGCCAGGGCCTGTACAGGTCAAGTATCAAGCAGATGTTCAGGGTAATGTTAAAGACCAAACACAGTTTTAGTGATTCTCATACTGGCTGCACTGCAGTCTCCCAGAGCTGGTGAGGTCTGCTAAAGTGTCATGAGGGGGGTGCCTGGGTGGCTCAGTCAGTTAAGCGTCTGCCTTCGGCTCAGGTCATGATCCTAGGGTCTTGGGATTGAGCCCCGCATCAGGCTCCCTGCTCAGCGGGGAGCCTGCTTCTCCTTCTCCCTCTCCCTCTCCCTGCCGCTCCCTCTGTGCTCTCTGTCAAATAAATAAAAATCTTAAAAAAAAAAAAAAAAAAAAGAAGTATCATGGGGGCTCTCTTACCGAGCATACAGATGAGGTGTCCAGGGGTCCACCAGGTTGGGGAAGCGGATGGCCAGATCCCCAGTAGCAATCATGAGGTTAGACCGGACAATCGGCAGTGAGGACTTTTCCAGCATGGTGAACAGCAGACGAAGCTGGGAGTCACAGAAAGTGGCACTAGGGGGCCAGGAGAGGACCATCAGGGAGACCGGCGATCCCCATCCTCTCAGAGCGGGCGCTCCTGCCCCCAGGACCTACCTGATCATGCAGAACTTGCCCAGGGCAAGTGAAGCCGCCGCCGAGAGCTCCGGGTTGCTGTAGAGGCCAGGGCTGTTGCAGACTTTGAGCAGAAGTGGAACGAAGGCAGCCAGGACCTGTGTGCCTGTCAGCAGAACAGCTCTCGGTTTGGGACGGGTTATCTCGGCCGGGGAGCAGGCCCCTCAGCCAGTCTTACCATCTAACAGCTCCTTCTCGCAAATGCTGCGGATGAGTTCTGCCTCCGTGTCATCAGCGGCAGCGCCCGCCAGCCCCATCTCCTCCTCCATGGTGGTCTCAGAGCTGGTGTTCTGGTGGGGAAGAAACCAGGCATCACAGCTCAACCGGGACAGCGTTTTTGACTGCAGCCTACCTTTCATTTTGCAGGACTGCATCTGGGGAAAGCCTGGTGCTGCACAACCCCTCCTACAACTGCCAAATGTGTCTGCGGAGAGGGAGGGCTCCTGAATTCCAGAGGAAAAGAACTAGGTCTCTGTAGTTTTGTTTTCACGCTGGCAAATTCAAAATTGAACAAATGGCATTTATATTCAAGTTGCCAAAGCATATGTCTCCACCTCGGAACCCATCCTCAGGGAAGCAGGTCGTTTCCTGTATACAGTCAATAGATGGATCACGTGGACAGTGGTTCAAGGTCACAAAGGTCAGACCTTATTCCACGGCTGCAAGGCTCTGTGTCTTACTGGTTTGCAAGACATCACTGCCTCTAGTGGAGAACACAATGTCCCCATCAGGTGGCAGGCCCAGTGACCAAGGCTGATGGGAGGCAGGGCGGGGGTGTGCTCGTCCTCATAAGCAGCGCCTCTGGGGGCCGCCTGAGGTCCCTAACTCAGTGCCCTGTGTTTCCCTAAAACCTTCCTTCCTGGGTGATGGTGAACGGACTGCTCCATCTTTGTTCTCACTAATCTTTCGCAGAGTAGCAACAATAAGGAGCAGAGCCTCTTCCTCATTTTATTTAACGGTAGGAAAGCAGGGATCCCCAGGAGGAAAAGTGAATGACAACAGGCCATGAAACAAATCTGGGCAAGGCTTGGGACACAAACCCAAATGCCCAGGCACTTTATTCACCTTCTCCTTTAGGTCCTTAGTCTTCTGCTCCTGTTCTTCCCGAAGAACCCGGCGCCGACAGAGCTCTCCACTCACTGCCTGTTCCAAATGCACCAGCTGCTGCAGAGCCACGTCTCCAGCCAAGGACAGCAGGTTCATCAGCAGGAAAGTGGGGAGCATGGGGGCGTCCTCTGGAGGAGGGGAGAGGGAAAGCAGGGAGAAAAAGACAAAATCAGGTTTCACAGAACCCTGCACCCTGTTCTGAAGGCTCTTCCCCTTGCTCACGGGCCATACGCAAAGCAGCGAAGAAGAGGTGGGGGTGGGGGGTGGTGGTAGCGACTGGTCCGACCTGAGTGACAAAAGTGACAGAGAGTGGTCTGGGGGTGGGTCGGGCTGCTGTGCGAAGCCATGTTGGCAGCGGCTTCTGGCCTGACAAGGAAAGCAGTAGAATCTGGTTGCCTGCCCACTGGGGACCCTCTGCCCACTCACTCGGGCCTTCCTGGGTGCTGCTCTTCTCTCCCAGCTTCTCCAGGGCCTGTTTCGCACAGCCCTGCAATATCTGGGCACAGATCACCTCGGGGCCCTCTGCCAGCTGGTAAATGAGGGTCACCGCCACCTCCTTGAATGGGATCCAGAGTGGGTCTGGGTGCAGAAAGCCTGCAGAGGAGAAGGGAGAAGTTACCCACTGCAGAGGAAGGACTCGATTCTGCCCAAGGCCTTCATGATAGCTCACCTTTTGTGATCACCTCCCGCAGTCGCTCAAACAGCCTGTGTTCCTGAGGCAGCCGGAAGGGGGGGTGACGTTTGCTCAGAGAAGGCTGCCGAGAACAGCAAAGACAAAACGTGGGTATGTGTTGAGAGTGGATAAGAGGACCCCCCACTTTCCTTGGTTTGGAGACCCCCGCATACCTTTCTCCTGTCAGAGAGATTGGCAATGGCATGGCACACCTGCTGGGCCAGCCTGTAGTCCTGTGGAAACTTCTCATCCAGCCCTATGCTCACCAGTGTGTCTAAGTTGCTTCCCACAATTTCTGGTTTTCCTCTAGGGGAAGGAAGCCACAGAGTTAGAGCTAGTCAGGAACAGCACTCTGTAGGGGATGATGCCAAGTGGAGTGGGTAATGGCACTCGGTGCAAGGCTTTCTGAGAGCCCTGGAGCACTACAGGAGAGGCTCTCACACGGCTGGCCCTCAGAATCCCTCTTGCTGGACTGAATCCCATTATTTCTGCTGGGCTGGGCGGGGGCAGGGTGGTGGGGGCTGGTACTTGCACTATTTTATTTTTACTTTTCATTGAAGTAGCCAACTCATGTATGGCTGCCGGGCCTGACTGCCGGTGCCAAAGGGAAGGGGGCCTTCTCAGAGCCCTCCCTTCCCCTCTTATTCCTCCTGCCTGTCCGGACCTGAGCCTCACCGCGCCATCATCCCAAGAAGCATGACCGAGGAACAGCGCTCCACAGCAGAGCAGGGGACCTTCTCGACTGCCCGCTCCCACAGCACCTGGGTCACTGCTGGCTTCAGTTCGTCCTTCTGCACAAACTCACAGAGCTGAAAAGAAAAGAAAAAGGGCTCAGGCCAGAAAATAATGATTCGCCCCGTCCTTGCTCCACTTCTCTGAAAAGAACACGGAGAACCTGAAGTGGGTAAAAGCAATACTTAGGCCCAGCAAAGGAAGGAGGAGGCTCGAATCATGAAGTTGGGGTTTGGGGAGGTATTTTCATCTCTGTCACTTTTCCACCCACATGGCCTCAAAACTACATTTGTTAAGACGACATAATGAAAGTAACCTTGTTCAGTTGTGTGTGGAACCGTGGTTCCGACCACATCTGAGAGATTTCTAATAGGTCTTGTTACTGTTACCACAACTCAATGTGTCTAAAACAGAAGGCTCCATCCTTCCTTGCCTTCTCCCAGAGTACCGACACTCTCAGTCACATGTACTTAGAACTTCACTGTCAACTAATTTTTTCTCATGTAGTCTTACCTATTCTTCGTTTTTTCTTTTTAAAGATTTCATTTATTTATTTGAGAGAGAGAGAGAGTGGCAGAGGCAGAGGGAGAAGCAGACTCCCCGCTGAGCAGGAAGCCCGATGCGGGGCTCAATTCCAGGACCCCGGGATCACAACCCGAGCCGAACGAAGGCAGATGCCCAACCAACTGAGCCACCCAGGTGCACCCCCCATTCTTCCTTTAAACTCCATCAACCATTAAGTGCAGCTCCATAGCTTTTCCTCCCACCCTGTCCAGCCCCGACACTGCACAGTTACAGTAGCCTCCTCTCCACCAACCCCCGTGTGTTTGTGTTGGACTAGTCTCCCAAACAGCTACTTCTTCATGCCACACCTCTGCTCATCCTGTAGAAATACCTCTTCTTTGCCTATGGTAGGGGCTCTGGACCAGGAGCTAGCCTACAAGACTTCAGGCCAGTGGCTGCCAGCAGGCTCTTCTTTCCCCCAGCAAGGAGAGAAAGGCAGCCGGCATCACACTCCACCTAGTGGAGACCAGTGGTCAGCACCATCTCTGCCTTCAGGCCCCACAGTCCAAATGCTACACAAGCAAATCTGCCTCAGTGAAATGCTGGCGAACACCAGGAAAGTCCAGGACGTGTGAAAGGCCTTCACGGACCTTTACAATCCAGTTCCAACTGACACTCCCACTTTATTAGCTTTTCCAGGTAACAATTTCCAGCCTGAACACGATCTTCATTCCGCAACTCTGTACTCTTTCTTGGCTTCCCATCTACGTCCTTCCCTCCTTTCTCTGATTCTCTATATCATACTCATCAAGACCCTGCTTAAGTCCTACCACCTACCTCACACTGTTCTCTTTCCCACTTGGGACTCGTCAGAGTAACACAGAAGTTAAGAGTATGTTGTCCAGAGCTCTTATTGCCCAAGTCTCTCCGGCGAACCAGCTGTAATTAGCCAAGTTCCTTAACCTCTCAGTGCCTCAGACGTCTCACTGTAAAATGTGCGTTAACAGTATCACCCCATAGGGTTGTGTGAGGATCACACAAGTTCGTACGAGCAAACTGCTGAGAACAGCGCCTGGGATATTAGAAGTATTATTATGTTACCATAAACGTTACTTGTGCCACTTTTTCTGGCACTAATTACCTATGTGCTACATCGTTCTATGTTTTATGTTTGGCTACCCACTATACTGTTGATTCCTTTTAAGTTGGGAACTTGAAAACAATCTTATACTTTGTGGGGCTGAGTAAATTGCTGAACACACCGTAACCACTCACTAATACTTGTTCAATGAATAAAGAAAGTAGAAGTAAGGGGGCGCCTGGCTGGCTCTGTTGGAGGAATGTGTGATACTTGCTCTTGGGGTTGTGAGTTTGAGCCCCATGCTAGGTGTAGAGATTACTAAAATAAATAAATAAGTTTAAAAAAAGAAAGAAAGGAAGGAAGAAAAGAAAGAAGAGAAGGAAAGTAGAAGAAAGGAGACTTACAATTTCCTCAAGACACTGGATGGTCCCAACTGAGGCATCTACTAGTAGCAAAGAGAGATTCTGAATCAAAGCCTGGGCCTTGGCTCTGTGGGAATAGCAGAGAGCAGAGGTCATTAAAAACCGGTAAGTTCGAACCTGGCACACAGGTTATTAGGGCTATCTGACCACAGCATCGGATAACTATGTAAGATGGGCTTGACTGGAAGTCCAGCCCCACCCTGAGCCCCATTACAGATCTACAGGCCTCTGGATTTGGAACTCCTCCAGAAGGATGCCCCCATCCCTGCCAGACGTCCCATGAGAAGCTGACCTCAGAAAAGTTGGCAAAGGCAAAAGTACCACATATACCTGGCGGAGTCCCCTTTGGGGTTGAGGTAAAGTTGGCGGTAGGCATTAAGCACAGCTTCCCGGACCCCAGGATCCTTAGACCAGATGAGAGGCAGCATGCGGCGCACCCCGACCAGGGCCTGAGGTACCCCAAATTGGAACACCATCACAAAGAATTCAATCACCTCCTGTACGACTGAGAGGACAGACACAAATGTCACCCATCTGCTTGGCAAAATTCCCCAGCACTTCAAGCTAGAAGTGGCAGCTCTCCTCATTCTCCCCGAGAATGTCAACTCCCAGATGGCCCTATCGTGAAATACTGTGTGTGTTAAAATGCTCTCATGGGGCTATACATAGTCAACAGAAATAAAGAATCCCTGCCTTTTGAAGGAGCAAATAGTCATCAGTAACATATGGACGAGACTGGTGTTTCCAGCCCCAAGGCCCAGTCCTTACAGAGAGGGACGCTGGCATATACCTGTCGTTGTATTTTCATACATCATCTTGCTGATGATGCTAACGGCCTCTGTAATCTTCAGAGAGAAGCTATAGGCATCCTGCAGATACTGCACCAGCATCTCCTGCTTCACCAGTTCATCGTTTTCCCGGGATTTCCCAGACTCTGACACACTGGGCTTGTCTTTACAGTCTGTCTGTTCTGGGCCCATGTTCCCTGCCGGCCCCTGGGTATTCTGTGTGGAAGCTGCTGGGCCTAGGCGTTAGAGAATTACAGGACGGTTACTGCTTGAGGGCATATGGGGCAATCCAACAGCTGTAACATCCCTGGATATTTGTTTCCACAGTGGGAAGGTATACATTTATTTTACTTTTTTTAAAGATTTTATTTATTTGACAGAGAGAGACAGCGAGAGAGGGAACACAAGCAGGGGGAGCTGGAGAGGGAGAAGCAGGCTCCCCGCTGAGCAGGGAGCCCGATGCAGGGGCTCGATCCCAGGACCCTGGGATCATGACCTGAAGCAAAGGCAGATGCCCAACAGGCGCCCCAAAGGTACACATTTAGAACCTACGCTAAAACATCTTGGTTCATTTCTCAATAAAGATTTCTAAAGTCCTCTACGGTTTTGGAAACATCCTTTCACAGCGTATGACTATCAATCTTAGGCCCTTGGGCTGCTTCCGTTCTGGAGCAGAGCCACTGCAAACTCTCCTCTGGATTTCTTCAGCACTGGGTTCTGTTAGCCAGGTCAGCATCTGACATAAAGTCCATGGCCCATATATACTAGCTGAAATGTTTTGTTTGCTAACTGAAAAAGGAAAAGGAATTACCTTTGAAGACAGTCTCCAGGAGATTCAGGAACCTGGTCTCCTCTGACTGCTCTGGGTCCATGTGACAGAAAGGCTCAGACTCCTGGAAGTGGCCTATGGCTTCTCGAGTGACAAGGATGGCCTGCCTGGAAGAACATTCACTTGTTACCAACTCGGGGCCCACAAGAGCATCACTGCAGCCTTCTGTCAAGGAGCCTACCTCACAGTTCCTCTGAGAAGCTAGACCTACTGCCCCAAAGAAAAGGAACACTTCTCATGCTTACAAAGCTGAGAAGCACCTACTAAGGGTAGAGCTCAAAACACTTTTCCCGTTTCTCAAGTGACAAGGCTTTACTATATAGTCTTTAAGAAACTCAAATAAGGCTTTTCAAATTTTATTTTATTTACTTATTTATTTTTAAAGATTTTATTTATTTATTTTTGAGAGAGAGAATGAGATACAGAGAGCACGAGAGGGAAGAGGGTCAGAGGGAGAAGCAGACTCCCTGCTGAGTGGGGAGCCCAATGTGGGACTTGATCCCGGGACTCCAGGATCATGACCTGAGCCGAAGGCAGTTGCTTAACCAACTGAGCCACCCAGGCGCCCAAGGCTTTTCCAAATTTTAAAGGTCACAAACCTACTTACATCAAACATCTGCTTAAAAACTTTGCTAAGATGTCCACAACAGCCAAACTGTGGAAAGAGCCAAGATGTCCAACGACAGAGGAATGGATAAAAAAGATGTGGTATATATACAATGGAATAGTATGCAGCCATCAAAAGGAATGAGATCTTGCCATTTGCAATGATGTGGATGGAACTGCAGGGTGTTATGCTGAGCGAAATAAGTCAGATTAAGACATGTATCATATGACCTCACTGATATGAGGAATTCTAATCTCAGGAAACAAACTGAGGGTTGCTGGAGTGGGGGGGGTGGGAGGGATGGGGTGGCTGGGTGATAGACACTGGGGAGGGTATGTGCTATGGTGGGCGCTGTGAATTGTGCAAGACTGTTGAATCACAGATCTGTACTTCTGAAACAAATAATGCAATATATGTTAAAAAAAAAAAAAGAAGAGGGGAAGAATGAAGGGGGGGAAATCGGAGGGGGAGACGAACCATGAGAGACGATGGACTCTGAAAAACAAACTGAGGGCTCTAGAGGGGAGCGGAGTAGGAGGATGGGTTAGCCTGGTGATGGGTATTAAAGAGGGCACGTTCTGCACGGAGCACTGGGTGTTATACGCAATGAATCATGGAACACTACATCAAAAACTAATGATGTAATGTATGGTGATTAACATAACAATAAAAAACTTTGCTAAGTCAAAGTTTGGAAAAAATAAGTGTTCAATAACTGGTTAATTTATGGTACATCCATACAATGGGATTCCGTGTAGCCATAAAAAATAATGAGGCAGCTATTTATGCATAAATATTAAAAACACTACGATACATGGTTCAGTGAAAAAAAGCAAGGTGGTAGACCAGCAGGTAGAAAATTCTATCATCTGCGTAAGAAGGGGAGAAAAAGAACATACGTTTGACAACATATCTGTGTTATCTCTAGAAGAATATGCAATAAACTCAGAATGTTGCTTCCCTGTGGAAAGGAGAACTAAGTGGCTGGGAAATAGGGTTGGAAGGGACTTTACATGTCCTTTTTATAATTTTAAATTTTGTACCATGTGAATGTACTAATTTTTTTAATGATTTTATTTTTAAGTAACCTCTACACCTAATGTGGAGCTCGGACTCATGACCCTGAGATCAAGAGTCGCACGCTCCACCCACTGAGCCACCCAGGTGCCCCTCACCAATTTCTTATTTTACAAATAATGAAACTGAGGCCCAAGAAGTTTAAGCAACTTACTTGAAACTACAGAACTAGAATTATACTTATAGGCTCTCTTCTTCGAATGGGGAACTTTTGCATATTTAATTATAATGTTATTTACAGTTAGTTGTTGGTGAAGTTTCTTTAAACATTTCTAAAAGTAGAAAAGCATGCTTAATTGTGGGCTATGCCTTTGGCATAAATCTGGTGTTCAGGCCATTACTACGATGAAAACACCTACCATCACCTGCTGGCAGCATACCCTAAGTAAAGTTCATCTTAAAGAAACACTGTTCCTCAAAAGTTAGTTCTAAACATAAAAAGGTCATTAGAGAATCTTTCACATACTTGTAACTAGCCTTGGCAAGCAACTGATGGATGCGTGTTTTCACATCTTCAGTGGTGTCTGTATTAGTAATTGCCTCAGGAATCTCCTCTTCTTCCTGGGGAAGCTTTAGCAGCTGTTGCAGAGTAGACTTCAACTCTGGCAGCATGGCTTCCCACTCCTCCTCTGGGTCCAGCGCTGCAGCTGAATGAGAAAGTCTCACTTAGACTCTTTCCTTGGACTTTCTGATGGCAGGGAGCAGGATGTCTTGGGTAAGGAATCCTACGCAGGAACTACTTACAAGCAGCTGCAGCTCGTCTCTGGGCCCTCATCTCTTGTAATTTCTGGGTTTCCTTCTGCAGTGGTCCAGCGAGGTCAGTGTCACTAAGCTGCCAAGGTCAAATGAGTTGCAGGGTCACTAGTTACAGAATTTGATCCCTATTTCCTTTTAATTCCTTCTCTTTTGGGTAGATCAAGCTTACTTACCTTGCAGGAAAAGGGATTATTGGCAAGGAAGCTGGCCAGCAGCTGAATGGCATTTTTACATACTAGCACCGACTTGTCTGCCAGACGTCCCACTGCTAGGGCCACCACTGCTTGGAAACGCGTCAAGGGGAGAGCCTGTGTGGGGGAGGGAGAGAAGGAGGGGTTCACATCCCACATCATCCATTCTGCTCAAGATGATCTTGAAGTACGCTCTACCTTAACTACCCACTCATTCTAAAGAAACTTTTCTATGAGATATAAAACAGTTTCTCTTTGTAGTGGTTAAGATACAGTGTAATCCTTAAACGGAGCCAGGCATTCTTGTCCTTGGTAGAGGAAGACCTTTATTACTGCCAGTAACAATCTGAATCCTGGACTCTTCTGTGGGACACGGGATTCCTTTTTTCTTTGGCCTGTACACAGAGTACTGTATGTCTTTACCATGCAGGTTATTCACCTTCTGCTGGACGATTCGGGTAAAGAGCTGCAAAACACGGCTCCGCACAAAGGAGTTGACGTCATGGCCATGGGCTTGCAAGGTGTCCAAGAACTGGTCTCTGGTGTCTCGGGCTGCTTCTTCCAGTTGATCACCACTCAGAACCTGCAGGACCATCTCTGCCATAGCTGCCAGCACAGCATTGCGCATCATGTAATTCTAAGGGAGAGAACCAGAGTTGGTCTGAGGGCTCCGCGCTCCAATCCTAACTCTCCTTCCCCAAACTCTTGAGCCTGTCGAGGCACAAGTGACAAGGCCTTAAGTTAAGGGTAAGTTTGCTTCACTATGACTTTTTCTGGTCAGCTGCTTACGTATTCACCCCTGAGGTCACTGGAAGGGGCCTTATCTGCTCAGAGAACACAGGGAAAAAATAAACAAGAGCCCCAAACAATTTTCCCCCATAAGGCTCATCACATCTATACACATTTGAAAAGCATTCATTTCTACCTTTCATCGGAGGCCTCAAAGCCTTTGATCCTTACTAATAAAACATCCTCTTCCCCCCACTCCCCATCTCACATTTTACTGACAAAAAATGAGACATGGAGAAGCACAAGTAAGCCCTAGGGTGCCAAGCAAGTCCACTGCAGAATCAGGTGAATAAGGATTGGGGTTTTGCCAGGCCAGAAGCCAGAGAATGGGGTCTTGCACAAGAAGTTAAAGTAGATTAGATGACTGAGTAGACTATCTTTGTCCTTGACATTCACCTAGAAGTGCCCTGCATCAATCTGGAAGGCAGCCAGGCAGAAAGAACTGAGAGATGGCATTGTTTAGAGTGCAGGCGAGTGAGGTGGTAGGAAGAATGGAAGGGGCTTCATCCTGAGGAATGGAAGGGACTCAGAATCACAGCTGAGTGACTCTCACTAGACCTAAGGTGTGGAATTGCCAGCCCCCCCATCAGACCTGGATAAAACCAACTGATATTGAAATGGGGATCAATAAATGGCTCTTCAGTCAATGAAATTTATCTGCTGCTCTGTACGAAGAAACTGCCACCGAGTTATGCTTAGATAACCTGACTTCATGGGAAAGCCATCTTCTTGTTATAAGAAACAGCCTTCAGCAATGGACTTAAAAGTCCCCAGAAAAACCTGAGATCCCCAGGGGACCACATACCTCTCCATCCAGATGATCCAGCAAAATGCACATGCAGGACATCAGGATGGCTGGGATGCGTTCTGCTAGTTCTGTCAGGAAGGCTGCAAAGCCCTTTGCCCCTGCAGGGTCCCGACTCAGCTCCTGGGGACACTTCTGCCCAATCTCTCTATGCAGGGAAGAAAACACAGCCACAGCAAGAAAATTCAGTTCCTAGTAAGAAAAGGTAAGACTGCTATCTCATATCTGAAGAAATCTACTGTGCACAGAGAATGTACTTCCAATCTTTCTGTATCTTCCCCCTGAGGGAGAGAAGAATCAGAAACTTAGAGAAGAGTCACCTTACAATCTCCCCCACTATGCTCTTCATTCCATAATCAGTTGCCCACAGGCTCACAGCCGCCACCAATACGGGGGCCAGGTGTTCAAAGTGCTGCAGCATCTGGATGATCTTCACAGTGGCACCTGTGGACGTACTAACGGTGAGAAATCATAGGCAAAATGGAAAACGTGGGGCAAAGCAGAGGGCTAACTTACTGAGCATATGGTTATAACGTGTCAAGGCGACACCGAGCAGGCGCGTGATGGCCTCCCGGGTGGGGCGGTTCTTCTGGTGACTAATGGTGGGGTTCTCCAGGAGGCGGTAGCAGCAGCCAGTAACCAAACTGAGAAGGAAGGGAGGGAGATGATGAAGTCAGCTGTGTGCATCCCATTCTATCGGGGCCCTGCCTCATTCATTCTCCCTCTCCTGCCCCCAAAGACAGGGGCTTCTAGCTTTCGTCATTCTATTTTTTCAAAAGATTTTATTTATTTATTTGAAAATAAGAGACAGCGAGCATGAGTGGAGGGAAGGGTCAGGGGGAGAGGGAGAAGCAGACTCGTCTCTGAGCAGGGAGCCCGACGCGGGGCCAGTTCTCAGGACCCCGAGATCATGACCCCAGCTGAAGGCAGACGCTTAACTGACTGAGCCACCCAGGCGTCCCTTTCTTCATTCCACTGATCACCTTCTACGCCAATTTGCTTTGCTGACTCTAGATAGGTACTCTGTCTTTCAGAATTACCAACTTTCAACCAGTTCTGATGCCTACACAGTACCCAAATATATGATAAAAGGTAGAAAAGTAACCAAAGACTTTTCATGGTTAATTCAGTCCTCATCTGGATCAACCTTTTAGCTGCACTGGATGCAGCTGATCACGCCATTCTCCTGGAAACACACTTCATCTGGCCAGATGCCAGACTCCCCTCCCCAGGGTACAATAAGGATTTCTGCTCTCCTCTAGCTACGCTTACTGATTTAGTAATCTCATTCAGTCTTGGGGCCATAAATTACCATTTATATAAATACACTGTATTCCCAAATGGGTATCCTAGCTCAGACCTCTCTCCCACGCTCCAGATTTGTATATTCAACATCAGAGTCGGACAACATTGCTTGGATGTCTGATAAGCATTTCAAACTTTATATCCAAAGCAGAACTTTTAATTGTCCCCCTGAAAACATGCCCCACAGTCTTCCCCATATTTCAATTACTGCCAACTCCGTTCTTCTGAAAGCTCAGGCCCAAACCCTGGGTGAGTCATCCTTGACTCTCCCTCAAACCTCACACACATCTGTCAGCTCGTCCTGTAAGCTTTACCTTCAGGAAACAGGTACAGAATCCATGCATTTCTCCCCATCTCCACTGCCATTCTTGGCTCTAAACTCCCACCATCTCTTGCCCAAGTCACTGCAACAGCCCCCTAACTGGTGTCCCGCTTTCTTCCTTTCCCTTCTTAGTAATGTAACAGTAGCCAGAGCACGATGATCCTGTTAAAGCCCAAGTCAGACCACCTCACCTGCCTGGAATCCTCAAGTGGGCCCCACGTCACGCTGAGAAAATGCCAAAGTCACCATGATGGCCAAGGAGTTGCACAGTCGGCTCCACACCGCCTGTCCCTCTCATCTGCCTCACTGCCCTGTCTCTGGCCTCGCTGCTATCACCTGTACGTGCCAGACACATGCCCTCCTCGGGGTCTTTGTACCCGCTGTTCCATTGTGCCATTCCTTGCCCTTGCTACTCCTCCAGATCCTCTCATGGCTCACATGGACTCCTCTGGGTCTTTGCTCAGATGTCACCACCTCAAAGAGGTCTTGCTAGAACAGCTGGTTTAAGATCACAACTCTGTTCCATCAAACTCCCCATCCCCTCCTCTCTTGTTCTCCACAGTAATAACCTATAAAACACACCATATATTTTACTTATTTTTTAAAAAAGATTTTACTTATTTATTTGACAGAGAGAGACAGAGCAAGAGAGGGAACACAAGCAGGGGGAGTGGGAGAGGGAGAAGCAGCTTCCCGCGGAGCAGGGAGCCCGATGCAGGGCTCGATCCCTGCACCCTGGGATCAGGACCTGAGCCGAAGGCAGTTGCTTAATGACTGAGCCACCCAGGGGCCCCTATTTTACTTATTTTAAAAATCATCTTCTGCTCTATAATATAAACTCTAAGAGGGCAGAAACTTTTGTTTCCAGTGCCTGCCATAATACCAGCCATGTACCCAGCCATGCTCAGCAAATACTACGTCATAAATGAATAAATGGGCATTGAAGATGAGAAATTCATGGCAGTTTCTAACATTTGTCATCTACTTCCTAACTCAGTGTTAATGAGTAGACTTCTACGTGTTATACAGAAGTGAGGCATGAAATGAAGTATTCAGAAAGAAGACATATCTAGCAACAGGGTACTTGTTCCTCATAGCTCACAATTACCCGTAGCCATCTTAACCACCCACCTGACAAATTCCTCTTCAATTATTGAGTGGTTCCACAGGTGACGAATGTCCAACTGGAGCAGCTGTGTTAGAAGCTGAAGAATTGGCTGCCTCTCTTCTTCCCAGTCAAAGCCATAGGTTGTCCTGGCCCGGGCTTTCTTTCCCTAAAAAAGGACCATATGGTCATGTAGGGAAAAATAAGAAAACAAATCGGGTCAAGATCTGCTAGTCTGAGTGCCCAAACTACCCAGTATTGAGACAAGGTAGAAACTAACAAAGAAGACATAAACAAATTCCAAAATATAGAAGAGTTTCTTGTCAGGGAAGGATATGCTGTGACACTTTTGAGTATTTTCCCATAAACCGTAAATTAGGGCAGAAAGGACTCCCAGAATTGTTGGAGTCCCTTCTTTCCCATCCATCCCCCTACCTCTCCAGTCCCCATATTAAGTGAGCCAGAAACTTCAAATTACCTTCCCAAGGTCCAGGTCCATGAGGCTTGTCTGGCTGCTCATGGTCTCAAAGGATTCCAAGAGGCGGATCAGAGCATAGCAGTTCATTTTGAGAGCATTTAGGTGGGCGCTCCTATCTGACACACTCAAAGCTGCATCATCCAGGATAGTGGGAAGTTCCTGGGAATGACGGGACACCACTGCGAGGGGCAGAATCTGGAGTCGGCTTCATTCACTTTCCTCATACACCCCGACTTCAAAACACCCAGCAATTGCAGCCATCAGATTACCAAAGATCTGTGTTTCATCTCTCAGTGGTCACAACACAAGCCAAGTCCTTTGGGACCTCCGACCTCGATACCCTGAACATGCCCTGTCCCCACTCTCTCTCTCACTCCAGCTACCCCAGTTTCTCTCTGGAGACTGGAAGAATCACCTCTGTTAAAGAGAGGTAGTTCAAAAGTAGGGAATATTTCTTGTTGGTCTGCCCTTACAGCGAACACACACAACTCTGTATTGCCCACCAAGATTACAGACCTTAATAGGTCAAAGGTACCCGGGCTTAGCCAAACCACCTGAATCACCACAGCCTTCATATCATCACGTGGCTGATAAAATGTAGGAAACAGTAAGCAAACAAACAGCGACAAACACCTTCCATCCCCTACCCCCTGACCCATAAACACCTTTTATCAGGAATTCCAGAGTATCTTCCTTGAGGCCAGGATCTATACTTCGAAAGTGACTATGAGGGAAAGAAAGTGTGGGGGGGTGAGACAGGAAACTGCAGAGCCCATTCTAGATCAGATCAAACCTGAAGAATCTAATACTTAAAAATATCTGTGAAACTGCTCAACTGAATAAATGTGGTGTTAAGTTGGGGGTCAATGCTCATTAGTAGAGATATCAGCACCCAGAGCCTTTATCAGTGAACCTATAATTTGGAATTTCAGGACTAACATGCAAAGTTAGGGTCGATAGCGAACAGTTCTTAAAAGTACCAGCCAGCTAGGTGCTTTATACTTACTGTAGAATGCTATAGATAGTATCAAAGTGCTCCAGCATAGCCAGGGGCCCCTGAGCTCGGAAGGCAGCCTGAAATGCTATAAAGATGAAAGAAACTAATTAATAAAGAGGAGAGGGCTTTTTGGTAAATTCTACTCATGGCACAAAATCGAGTTAATTACTTTTATTGTTTGAATCACAAAAAGAGACCGTTCATTTCTTTTTTTTTTTTAAAGATTTTATTTATTTAGTTGACAGAGAGAGACACAGCTAGAGAGGGAACACAAGCAGGGGGAGGGGAAGAGGGAGAAGCAGGCCCCCTGCCGAGCAGGGAGCCCGATGTGGGGCTCAATCCCAGGACCCTAGGATCATGACCTGAGCTGAAGGCAGACGCTTAGCGACTGAGCCACCCAGGTGCCCCTTTTTATTTATTTTTAAAGATTTTATTTATTCATTTGAGACACAGAGATACAGAAAGAGAGAGAGAGAGAGAGAGAGAATGAGCAGGGAGAGAGGCAGAGGGAGACAGAGAAGCAGGCTCCCTGCCGAGCCAGGAGCCCAATGTGGGGCTCGATACCAGGACCCTGGGATCGTGACCCGAGCCGAAGGCAGACGCTTAACCATCTGAGCCACCCAGGTGCCCCATCAACATAACCTATTATAATAATAGTTTACATTTGGGCGCCTGGGTGGCTCAGTTGGTTAAGCGACTGCCTTCGGCTCGGGTCACGATCCCGGAGTCCCGGGATTGAGTCCCACATTGGGCTTCCTGCTCTGCAGGGAGTCTGCTTCTCCCTCTGACCCTCTTCCCTCTCGTGCTATCTCTCATTCTCTCTCTCCCTGAAATAAATAAATAAAATCTAAAAAAAAAAATAATATAACTTACATTTGTCCTGTTTTATAATGAAAGCCTTACTTGAGTTCCACTACATCTCTGAGTTTGATAAAGCAGATGGTATTATGCCTATTTTATGGGAAAAGCAATTAAGTCTCAGAGTAGTTGTGTGACTTGTTCAGTGTAGTTAGTAGTGAACACAAACTCATGATCTATTTTTTTTTTAATTTTGAAATTACAAAAGTGGCAAAAAACGTACCAAGTTTCTTTTAATTTTTTTATTTTATTATTATTTAAAGATTTTATTTATTTATTTGACTGAGAGAGACAGCGAGAGAGGGAACACAGCAGGGGGAGTGGGAGAGGGAGAGCAGACTTCCTGCCAAGGAGGGAGCCCAATGTGGGACTCGATTCCAGGACCCTGGGATCATGATCTGAGCCCAAGGCAGATGCTTAACGACTGAGCCACCCAGGCACCCATATTTTATTATTTTTTTTAAATAAAGATTTTATTTATTTATTTTTGAGAGAGAAAGAGCACAAGTAGGGGGAGCAACAGAGGGAGAGGGAGAAGCAGACTCCCCACTGAGCAGGGAGCCCGATGTGGGGCTCGATCCCAGGACCCTGGGATCATGACCTGAGCCGAAGGCAGACACTTAAACCGACTGAGCCACCCAGGTGCCCTCATACAAAGTTCTTATACTTTTCACTCTAATAACATTAACATCTTACATAACTACGGCACAAGAATCTATTCTAAACTAAGGAATTAACATTAACTCAATGCTATTAATCAATCTACAGACCTTATTTGAATTCTGTTAGTTGTTTTACTTAAGTCCTTTTCATGGTCCAGGATCCGATCCAGGATCCCACAATGCATTTAGTTGTCATGTCTCCTTAGTCTCTTCCCATCTCTGCCTTTCAGTCTTGACACTTTCAAAGTGTGCTATTCAGTTATTCTGTAGAATGTCCCTTGGTCTGGGTTTGTTTGCTATTCTCTCATGATTAGATTGAGGTTATGCATTTTTGGCAAGATGAATGCAGAAGGGAGGCTGGGTCTTTTCAATGCATCATACCAAGAAGTACATGATATCAATACCTTATTAGTATGTTAACTTTGACCACTTGGTAGTCAAAGGTAGGTATCTCCTCTGTAAAGTTACTATTTTCCCCTTTGCAGTAATTAAGTATCTTGTGGGGAGATATTTGCACCTCTGCAAATATCCTGTCTCTCATCACATTTTGCCCACTATTTTAGGCATCTGTCCATGATTCTTGCCTGCCACAATTATCAGTGAGGTACTTACTATACAGTGGTTTCTCTTTTTTCTTTTTTTTAAGATTTTATTTTTAAGTAATCTCTACACCCAATGCGGGGCTTGAACTCACAGCCCCAAGATCAAGAGTCATATGCTCTTCCAACTGAGCCAGCCCGGTGCCCACATATAGTGATTTTTCCATCTCCAGCATTCCTTCTACACTTACTAATGGGAATGCCACTAAAAGGATGAGCTATCCCTTTCCCCTCAGTTATTTTTTTCTTAAGATTTTATTTATTTATTTGACAGAGAGATAGAGAGAGAGCACAAGTAGGCAGAGAGGCAGGCAGAGGGAGAGGGAGAAGCAGGCTCCCTGCTGAGCAAGGAGTCTGATGCGGGGCTCAATCCTAGGACCCTGGAATCATGGCCTGAGCCGAAGGCAGCTACTTAACCAACTGAGCCACCCAGGTGCCCCTCCCCTCAGTTATTTATTCGAATCGGAGTAGACCCATGGACATTTCTTTTATTCTGTTTTAATCCATTCCTCCTACGATCTATTTTGTTGCTCAAATTATCCCATACTTGACCATTGGGAGATCCATCAACTTGACCTGTGTCCTTTCAACATATTCCCTTTATTTCACTCTCCCAGTTTCTTGTACCACAAGATATTCCAGGCTCATCTTGTACTTTCCCTGGCCCAGTCCTGGAATCAACCATGCTCAACAGAGTCCTGGTGTTCTTTATGGAAGTAAGGCATCTAGAAACCAAGTTCAAGGCACTAGGTTAGGCTGACTGCTATTGGAGTATCATAGTTTTTAGGCCCTCTCAGTAGAGAATAGCAGGCATGTATGTGTATATGCACACATATCCCCTACATCTATTTTTATATGTGTATATATTAAAAAATGAGTTCATTTACATATTTACTTAATCCTAGTATAAAAATAAAACAGTTTCAGGGGATGCCTGGATGGCTCAGTCGTTGGGCATCTGCCTTTGGCTCAGGTCATGATCCCAGGGTCCTGGGATTGAGCCCCACGTCGAGCTCCCTGCTCAGCGGGAAGCCTGCTTCTCCCTCTCCCACTCCCCCTGTTTGTGTTCCCTCTCTCGCTGTGTCTCTCTCTGTCAAATAAATAAAACCTTAAAAAAAAAAGTTTCAGAATTGCTAACCTATACGCCTATAAAAAAGTTTACTAACTTAGCTTACAATAATTGTGTAAAGTTCTTTTTTCCAGAGTATATAGTCAAAATACTACTGCTTTTCAAAGCTACGTAGGTTAGTTCTTTTCTTCCCGACTCATTAATGTGATTATGTGAAACACTTATAACATATTTGTTACCACTTTATATTACATTTTGAAAACCCAGTGTCTTTTGATTCTCAGGCCCAGTGCTCTTTTCATCCTGATTGTACTGCTTCTAGATAAACACTTCAGTATCAAGGGAGTAGAGTTGAATTATGTCTTACAACACGTAGGAGTGACAAGGCAGTATGGGAATTAGGTTTTGACCCAAGTTATACACCAAGCTCTTTCTGAGGACGGGAAAGGAAAGAATTCCACCGAATTCTTCTTTTCTGCAATACCAAGTTGGTTTGCCTTGAAAGTAAAGCCAGAATCTTGTACTCCAAGTATCACTGCTGGCATTGACCTGATTATAATGTTAGGATGTCCAACTATGTACAAATCCTCTGTGATTTTTTTAAAAAAGATTTTATTTATTGTGACAGAGAGAGAGAGACAGCGAGAGAGGGAACACAAGCAGGGGGAGTGGGAGAGGGAGAGGCAGGTTTCCCGCTGAGCAGAGAGCCCGACATGGGGCTCGATCCTAGGACCCTGGGATCATGACCTGAGCCGAAGGCAGACGCTTAACGACTGAGCCACCCAGGTGCCCCCATCCTCTGTGATTTTTTTTTTTAAGATTTTATTTATCCATTTGACAGAGAGAGAGACAGCGAAAGAGGGAACACAAGCAGGGGGAGTGGGAGAGGGAGAAGCAGGCTCCCCGCTGCGGGGCTCGATCCCAGGACCCTGGGATCATGACCTGAGCTGAAGGCAGACTCTCAACGACTGAGTCACCCAGGCAACCCTCCTCTGTGATTTTTAACAAGCTGTCTTATTCCTCCAGTTCTTACAGCCTCCCTAGCACTATAATCATAACACATTCTCCTCTTCCTTTATACTTCTTACCCTATGCCTCTCTGACTTTAATAGATGACTGCTCTCCACTTTACCAAAAAGAACGAGACCCAAAGCACAGGTTCTCTCGTAATCCTGCCTCCCTATCAACAAACGTCTCTGCCAACATCTTCCCATTCTTTACCTGAGTCTCAAGCAAAAAGTTTCTTTCTTCTAAAGCTAACCTGTCCCACTGCCCCGAAGATTTATCTCCTCTTTTTCACCTTTGCTTTTTATCCTGTCCAGGACTTGCTCTTATTGTGCCAACATGCTCAGGCCTCCCTTTATTTTTTCTAAAGATTTACTTATTCATTTGTCTGGAAGCAGGGCGGGGCGGTGGGGGCGCAGAGCAGGCAGAGGGAGAAGCAGGTTCCCCGATGATCAGGGAGCCCGACATGGGACTGGATCCCAGGACCCTGGGATCATGAACCGAGCAGAAGGCAGACGCTTAACCTACTGAGCCACCCAGGCCTCCCTTTAAAACAAACAAAACAAAAATGCTCAATGCCTTTCATTTGACCATGCTATCATATCACTTTTAAATTGTGTCTCCTCTTTCAATTTCCTGAAATCTGTTTCTGAGATTTACCAATCTAACAACTATTCTCTCAAAGATTACCAACTGCCCATTTTTTCATTACAACCAATGATTTTTCTTGGTCTACATATCTCTTTAATTCTTTGAAGCACTACCCACTGATCTAGTCTACAGTCAGACTGCTTTAGATTTACATTTGACTTGAACATTTACCAGGCCAAGCTACTTAGCTTACTAAGTCTGTTTCCTCTTCTCTAAATTGGGTGTAATAAAAGATCACACCTATAGGGCTTTTCAGAATTTTTTGGTAAAGCTTAGTAGAGATAATCCCCATGAAGCAATCAGAACAATACTTAGCACACAATGTAACTCAGTATATGTAAACTATTAACTAATCTTACAAACCTCTTTCTGTGATCTGGAAAATACAGAAAATGGAAAAAAGAGAAAGACATACGCACTGTTAACACCTGGCTAAATTTTGTCTATTTTGTATGCACAGCATTTCTGCTGTTGAGGCCATATCACATATTCACTTCTCTGTTCTGCTTTTTAAAATTTAAAATTACAATAAGCATATTATGAAACCTTTGTAAATAATTTTTATTTATTTTATTTTTTTAAAGGTCTTTTTTTTTTTTAAAGATTTTATTTATTTATTTGACTGAGAGAGACACAGCGAGAGAAGGAACACAAGCAGCAGGGGTGGGAGAGGGAGAAGCAGGCTTCCCGCCAACCAGGGAGCTCGATGCGGGGCTCGATCCCAGGACCCTGGGATCATGACCTGAGCCGAAGGCAGACGCTTAACGACTGAGCCACCCAGGCGCCCCTGTAAATAATTTTTAATGGTCACATAATATTCCACTATATGTATGTATCTTAATTAACTTACTGTTCTTCTATCGTTAGACCTTATGGTATTTCTTTTTCTTTTTAAGTAGGTTTCATGGCCAATGTGGGGCTTGAACTACGACCCTGAGATCAAGAGTTGCATGCTCTATTGACTGAGTCAGCCAGGTGCCCCTATTGTTAGACATTATGGTGTTTCTAATTTTTTCCACTAAAATTCACAAGACAGGGCACCTCGGTGGCTCAGTCGGTTAAGTGTCTGCCTTCGGCTCAGGTCATGATCCCAGAGTCCTGGGATCCAGTCCCATATCGGGCTCCCTGCTCAGCGGGGAGTCTGCTTCTCCCTCTGCCCCTCCCCCCTGCTATGCCACCCCCCAAATTCACAACACATTTATTCCCCTGGCAAATCTGGATTAAATCTAACTGACTGCTTACTCCATTCATGTAACCACACAAATAAAAATGGCTTGACAAAAACACAATCATGCCAACTATTCTCACTTTAAACTTATGCCCATTAACCACAAGTGGACCCTTAGTATTTCTTGCTAAGCCTATTACAAATTCCCAGGCGTACTCACTTTCTTCTAGGCAATTATTTCATACTTTTCCTCTGCTCAGAAGATCAAGACCTTCTTCCCCAGCTCCCTCTCAGTTAAAGGGTTCACTTCCTATCTCATGGAGAAAATAGAATCACACAGAAGAGAACTTCCAGCCGCCCCAAGATCCGTATCTTCCTGCATTATCTGCATCTGTGCCCATGTACTCTGCCTTCTCTTTCGCTGCTGTGGATAAACTATCCCATGCTCTAATGAAACCATCTCCTCCCCCTGTGCACCAGATCACACACTCTCTCATCTACTAAAGATACTGCCCCAACACTCATTCCTTCTCCCTCCTGCATCATCAACCTTTCCCTCTCTGATCACTTCCATTCATTCAGCACATACACATGCAATACCACCCATCTTACAAAAAAATCCTCCCTCAACTCTATCTCCTCCTCTACCACCACCCCTTTTCTCTGTTCCTCATTAAAGCAAAACGACCACGATAAGTTATCTAAACTGTCCTCCCATTTTCTCATAAACCTCTTCCTATTAGGCTTTTGCCCCCACCACTCCTCTGAAACTGCTTTCCCCAAGGTTGCAACCGCCACATTGCGAAGTCCAGTCATTAATTTGCAGTTGAGCTCTCCCTTTCTTTTTGAAATGTACTCATAATTTAGCCTCCAGTTAGCACCTCTTGTTCACTTTCTGCCTCAATGATTGGTCCTCAGTTTCTCCTATTGGTTTCTTTCTCATCTTCCCAGCTTCTACCGGACTGTCTCAGATCTTACGTTTTTAAATTGCCTTTCTTCTCCATCTACATTCAAATTTCATAGCTTTAAATGCCCTCTACAATGCTGAATATTAAACCCCAAATGTATAACTGTAGCTGGCACCTCTCCCCTGAACTCCAGAACTCTACAACCAACAGACTAAACCTGCTCCTCTTGGGCGCCTGGGTAGCTCAGTCAGTTAAGCGTCTGCCTTCAGCTCGAGTCATGATCCCAGGGTCCTAGGATTCAGTCCCACACTGTCAGGTTTCCCGCTCTGCAGGGAGCCTGCTTCTCCCTCTGCCCCTTCTCCCACTCATTCTCTCAACCTCTCTCTCTGCCTCTCAAATAAATAAATAAAAATCTTTAAAAAAAAAGTAAATACACCTGCTCCTCTCATATTCTACTCCATCTCAGTAAATGGCAGCTCCATTCTTCCAAAAGCCTTGTCATCATGCTAGATTCTTCTTTCTCTAAACCTATAAATTCAAGCCAATCCATCAATAATCCTTTTTGCTCGACTTTTTTTTTTTTTTTAAAGATTTTATTTATTTATTTGAGAAAGAGAGAGAATGAGAGAGAGAACACAAGAGGTCAGAGGGAGAAGCAGACTCCCCACCGAGCAGGGAGCCCGATGCAGGGCTCGATCCCGGGACTCCAGGATCATGACCCGAGCCGAAGGCAGTCGCTTAACCAACTGAGCCACCCAGGCGCCCCTTTGCTCGACTTTCAACATATGTTCAGTACCTAACTTTTTACGATCACCTCCACTGCTATCAACCCCAGGCAAGCTACCTGGTACTACTGTATTAGCCTCTCAACTAGTCTCCCCGCTTCTTCCCTTGCCCCTTACTCTATTCAAAACAACAGGGATACTTTTAAAATGTCAGACTGTGTCACTCCTGTGCTCAAAACCCAATGGCTTTCAAACTCACTCACACTGAAGCTAAATCTTTACCATGACCTACAAGACTCTAGATTAGTGCTTCTCCAACTTAAATGCGCATCTGAATTACCTAGGGATCTTCTTAAAAAATGGATTTTCTGATTCAGTAGTTCCGAGTTGGATCTTGGATTTCTGATAAGTTCCTAAATCATGATTCTAATGTTGCTAGTTTGAGGACCACACTTAGAAGAGCATGACTATAGAGAAATCTGCATCACTTCTCATCTGACCTCTTTTGCCCTAACTTACTCTACTCCAACCATATTGGCATTTTCCCACCTCAGAGCCACGGCACTGGATTTTCTCTCTGCTTAGAATGCCTATGGGAATTGGCACAGTTCACTTCCTCACCTTTAAGGCCTCTGCTCGAACATCACCTATCAGCAAGCCTTCTCTGATCATCCAACATAAAATGCAGTTCCTACCCCACCATGCCATATCTTGTTTATCTTGCTTCTTTTTCTCCCTGGCACTTGCAACCATCTGATAAATCCCCTATTTGTATTTATTCCTTGTTGAGAACCTTGAGAGAAAGAACTCTGTCAACTTGTCTGTTTTGTCTACTGTTGTATATCCAGTACCCAGAACAGTGCCTGGCACACAGTGTATCGTCAGTAAATACTTGTTCAACAAATTAAGTGATTTGATCTTGCAGAACTTATAGTTAGGGTTCTAAACACCAAAAGCAATGCAATTGTTATGAAAAGAACTCTTAGAGTGATTATTTAAAAAATTATGCATTATAATAACTGAAAGACAACTGACTACAGTGTAGCCTGTGCAACTGGTGATGCCTATATCAATACAGTATGGAGAGAACAGTCTACCTCTCCCCTACAGTGGATACTGTTGGCTAGCCACCCACCCATTGACTGCCACACTCTGCCTTCTTTGCTTACCAAATAGTGATATGTCTAGGTTTGGGGAGGCTCCTAGATAATAATCTCGATCAATTTAGACAATCTGGGTGATTCCATTTCCCTTACCAGTAATTAGTCAGGGAAACAGGCAAAACCCAATTCTGGCTAAATCTGTTGGAAGGCTTTTGGTAAAGTTTTAAAAAAGGAAAGAAGAAAAGAAAAAGCATAAGATAAAAAAAAAAAGGATCACCTTTTCTAACTCTGGACATCAGAGCAAGGAGCTACCATCTAGCAACCATGATGGGAAGGCCAAGAGGAGACAAGCTGGAGTTAAATTATCAAGCTGCTGCATTAACCAACCCTTCTTGTTGTAGGAGATAACAAACGAAGTAGGTTATTATCCCTATCTTTACAGACAAGGAGACTGACACACAGAGAGAATAAGTAACTTGTCCAAGGTCAAAGTGGTAGAGCCAGGATTCAGATTCAGATAGCTTGGCTCCAGAGTCTTAAATCTCTACTCTATGTACCTCTCCAAAGCAACCTAATTGATAGAAGACCACTTCCAGTAAGTATAGTGATATTATGGGGTCTCGCTGATAACGTATAAATTGTCTTGTTCATCTGTAGGTTTCAATGGATAACCTTCATTGTTCATACACTGTTCAGTGTTGCAGCTGTACATATTTGTCGTCCGCCCCCCCCGCCCAATTAGTGCAATCTTGGAAACAAGAGATCTAGACTTTAGAAAAGTATTACCTGAAACAAGTCAGGTCAAGTCCCACACATTCTGAGAAAGCCTATAACCTTTAAATCCACCAGAACTTAATTTTAGTTTATAAGAGGTAAAGATCAAAAACAAGTTTTTGTCCAAAGAGTAGCCACATACACCCAGACTGTTTATTGAATAATTGAGGAAAGGAGGTCAATGTGTATACTCTCCATGTAATACATCCCAAGCAATGCTAGGAAAAAAAACAGTGACTACGCAAGACAAGTTCTTTGCCCTCATGGAGCTTAGTGGTGTAGTGGAACAGACAGACAATATAATTACATGTGGGAAGGTTGTTTTGAAGGCTAGGCACAGTAGCAGCTATGGAGTCTTACCTCTAAGCTGTGATGGAAGATTTCTGATGGACAATATCTCTTGCACAACATATTGATTCACCCCTCCACTTTTCAACAACTCCTCTGGGGATAAGGGCAGATGGAACTCATACAGTTGGGGAGACATCTTTCTCCCACTGGCTCACAAGGCTGGAAACCAAACAGCAAATAGGTCAGGGTCTATATCTAAGGCCTGTCTTTTTATCTGGTTCTATTATTTCTCCCCTCTCCAATATATGATGCTTATATCAAACTTATATCAAGCTGGTAACATTATCTTAGAGGATGTGAGATCAACCCTGGACTAGAATCTAATTCTAGTTGTGACTCTGCCATTTGGTCATGTCACATAACCCCGTGAACCTCATCTGCAAAACGGAGTTACTAATCTCTGATTATTTTACAAAGTTGCTGTGAGGATCAAATAAGTCAAGGGATACGAAAATGGACATCCTATCTGATATAGCTCTCCAAATGCCAATCTCAAGGAATGCATAATAACATAACCCAATTTACAGATGAGGAAATTGAAGCTAAGAAAGGTTAAGCGATTTGCCCATATTCCGTAGCGGATCTGTAAAACTTACTGTTTCTACATCTTACCCCAAAGATATACGCATGGAACCTCCCCGCCTCTCCTACGCGGCCTAATACCGCGTCATATTGCCCCGTACCCAACACGCCGAGTCTTTCATTCCCCGCTACCCATTAACACCACACCTCAGAAGAGTTCACCCGCCGCTCCTCCGACTCAGGTCGTGAGGCCGAAACGAAGGAAAAAACACGTAGTGCACAATACGCACCAATGAGCACGGCAGCACTCGGGAGCGGGCAGAGAAACCGGCCAATCCCCGGCAGGCGGACGCAAAACCTCGCTTCACAGCCAGGCGCCGCGCGGGCAAGCCACAAACGTGGAGTTCAAATCTCAACGGCCGTTGGGAGGCCAATCGCGACACTCACTGCGGGGACCGGCCAATCACATCGTAGGAGTCGGGAAGCCGGGCAGCGGCGCCGAGGGAGGGGCGGGGCCTAGGTCCAGTACCCGCCCCCTTCGCCTCGCGGCCACCGGGTTCTGCTGCCCTTCTAACCCGGGAGTGGTAGTGCCCCTGGGCTGGGGACCCACTCAGTCACCCCCCCCAGGACAGGAGGCAAGTCCAAGCCGGGAATTTAGGAGGCTCAGGCTCTAATCCACGTTCCGCCATCGCCTCCGCTATGTGACGTCCAGCAGGTTACTTCACTCTCTGAGCCTTCAGATTTCCTCCCCTGTAGAAAAGGGGTAATAAAAACAGCTACAGCGCAAAACTCCTGTGAGGCACAGAAAAAGGAAGTTCAGGGTTCCAGGGTCTGCACCTTCATCTCCCTCACAGTTGAGGGACCCCCCCAGGAAAGGGTGAATTTTCTTGAAATTCAGGTTGGGCGCATCCCAGGTAACGACGATACGAGCGGCTCAGCTCTTCTGACTGTCCACGACTTCCGCGGGCGAACCGGAAATGCCGGGGCGAGGCGAGGCGGGGCGGGAGGGTGTCAAGGCCTCGTTCACCGGAACCCGGAGGGCGGGGCTTATGTCTGGGGAAGGAGGGGCCGAGGCGGGGTGAGGCCCAAGATGGCTGCCTCCATCTAGTGCCCTCTGACGCTAGGGTGGAAGGTCCCTGTCAACTCCTTGAAGGCCACGTGCGACGCTATTCTTATGCTTGTGCGGGTGCTGTTGTGGGGGAGAGACGAGAGCAATGGCAGGGAGCCTCTTTTTGGGGGCAGGAAGGGTCCTATGGGGCCGGGTGCCCTTGGCCTGCAGAAGCTTCTCTTTGGGTAAGTGCTGATGTAGAAAAACGCCCCGAGAACTGCTTGCCTGTAAGGGGATCATATTCATTCCATTTCTTCTCCATCCTTAGGTATTCCTAGAATGTTCCACGTAAGGCTCACCCTCCCTCCTCCCAAAGTGGTTGATCGTTGGAACGAGAAGAGGGCCATGTTCGGGGTGTATGACAATATCGGGATCCTGGGTAAGACGCGACTCCATGGCACAGAATTTCAGAATGGCACTTGTGCCGTGAAGATTTTTTTCCACCTGTGTAGGAATGGTACCGTGCTCAATCGTAAGAGCAGACACGTACGTGTCTATTTAGGTTGTGTTCGGTGCTGTTACTCCTTATAATAACTTCTAAACTTTACAGGCAAGGAAACTGAGGCACAGAGACGTTGTGTGATTTTCCCAAAGCCAGTAAATGGCAGTGCCAGAATTTGAACCCCAAGCAGCCTGGCTCCAGAGTCTGTGCTCTTGAACATGTGGTGTAATGTGTCTTGTCTGTAGGTGTAGCTCAGGGAAGTGCAACTGTGTGCTGAAGCCTTAACTGGGTTGAGGCTCACTTCCCTCTTGTCTTGGAACTAATACGTTCTCTCACATTACACAGGAGACTTCAAAATGCACCCCAAAGAACTGATCAAGGGCCCCAGATGGCTTCGAGGCTGGAAGGGGAATGAATTACAACGTTGTATCCGAAAGAAGAAAATGGTTGGAAATAGGATGTTCCTTGATGACCTGCACAACCTTAACAAACGCATCAACTACCTCTACAAACACTTTAATCGACATGGGAAGTATCGGTAGAAGAGAAAGCTGGGAACTGTGGAAGAGGCACATCTGTCACCCCGGAGAAGGGGAACAGTACTTTTCCTTATAAGGAAAGGAATGTGTATGCTCCTTGTAATAAAATGGGGCTTCTTTGGAATCTGTTATCCACACACTTTATTTTACACTAGATGCTACTTTTACTCATTCCTGTAGACTATGAAGTCTGACTCATCCATAAGTCCTATAGTCTTAGGTTTGGACTTAACCACTTGCCCTTTGCAGACGAGCCATACCTATAGCTTTTAAAAAAGAAAAATTATTGTTGGCATTTTCTGACATTTAGCCCTTCATATATTGAAAATGGTATTTTTAATTGCCTCATAATCCTGTTAAATGTATTTTTAAAAACACTTTCACATTAGTTGAAATATAGCAGATAAGTGGAATTATGCTTCTGCATTATTCTCATCAAAAATATTGGGTACCTTTTCTGAGCTGAGAACTGTAGGAATAACAAAATGTAATAATATGCTTTTCTAGTTAGGGAGTAAAGATATATTCACACATGTACACTTTAATAGGAGGCATTGAGTACCATATAAATGGTTTACATCCTAAGCCTGACTGATCATCAGAATCATCTTGGTAGTTTCATAATTTCAAAAGCCTGCTCCCTGCCTCCAAAGATTTGTGATCTGTAGGGCTGAGCTGTTTTGCACATCTATGTGTTGTTGTTTTTTTAAACATATCTAAAAAATGTATCCATACATGCAATGCAAAATTTAAAATTACTAAAGGGTAATCAGGTAAAAAGTTTTCTCACAGCCTGTTTTTTTGATGCTCCTTCACAGAGGTCACCACTCTTTTTTCCCAGAGGCAACCATTCTTAAAAGATTCTTTTTAGTCCTTTGGACATATACCGTGCAAGCATGTATTAACTGTATATCTCCTTTTGAGAAGAATAGGATTCCATACCCACTGTTCTCTACCTTTCTTATTTACTTAATATAACTTGGATATTTTATATCCTCACATTCTATACCATAATGGTTTACTAGTTTCATTTTGATAGATATTTAGATTGTTTCCAGGTGTTTACTTATTCAAAGTATTACTCCTCTAGTTTTCGATAATTCTGATTAAAATCCCTCAGGTAATTTTAATTAGCCATGTTTGGAAACTTCTGACACGGAGATAAATGATCTAGATAAGGGACTGTATTTGGCCTAATCAGGAGAGGTGTCCTAGAAGAGGTCGGATTTCAGTAAGGGAAGAAAGAAGTGGGAGAACATTTCAAGCAGGGAAGAGAAGAGTGCTCAGTGGTGCATATGACCCAGCAATTCCACTCCTGTTGGGTATATATCCAACACAAATGAAAACATGTTCATACAAAAACTGGTACACAAATGTTCATAGCATTGTTATTCATAATAGCCAAAAAGAAGAAACAACCCAAGGGGCGCCTGGGTGGCTCAGTCGTTAAGCGTCTGCCTTTGGCTCAGGTCATGATCCCAGAGTCCTGGGATCGAGCCCCGCATGGGGCTCCTTGCTCTGCGGGAAGCCTGCTTCTCCCTTTCCCACTCCCCCTGCTTGTGTTCCCTCTCACTGTGTCTCTCTCTCTGTCAAAAAATAAATAAAATCTTTAAGAAGAAACAACCCAAATGTCTCAACTGATAAAGAAAATGTGGGGGGTGCCTGGGTGGCTCAGTTGGTTAAGAGTCTGACTTCAGCTCAGGTCATGATCTCAAGATCCTGGGATGGAACCCTATGTTGAGCTCCACACTCATTGAGGAGTCTGCTTCTCCCTCTCCCTATACCCTTCCCCCTACTCAGCAGGGAGCCTGTTTCTCTCTCTCCCTCTGCCCCTCCCCCAGCTTGTGCCCTCTCTCTCTCTCTCAAATAAATAAAACATTTTAAAAAAGAAACCATGTATGTAAATTAAAAGTACATGAACAGGAAATAGTACACATTTTCCAAAAACAATTATATCAAGCAATTTATAATGTCTGTGGCTCGGGAGGGGAATAGGGGAAAAAGGAATAAAAAAATGAAACACATCTTTTGATGGATAAGTAAAGATCATGTGGTCTACCAGAAAAACAATGTTCTATTTTTTTTTTTTAAGATTTTATTTGACAGAGCGAGAGAGCACAAGTAGGGGGAATAGTAGAGGTTTCCGCCAAGCAGGGAGCCTGATGTGGGGCTCAATCCCAGGACCCTAGAATCACGACCTGAGCCGAAGGCAGACGCTTAACCATCTGAGCCACCCACGTGCCCCAAAAATGTTCTATTTTTGTCTAGGATGATTCATATTCTTTTTTTTTTTAACATTTTATTTATTTATTTGACAGAGAGAGAGACAGTGAGAGAGGGAACACAAGCAAGGGGAGTGGGAGAGGGAGAAGCAGGCTTCCCGCAGAGCAGGGAGCCCGATGTGGGGCTCGATCCCAGGACCCCGGGATCATGACCTGAGCCGAAGGCAGACGCCCAACGACTGAGCCACTCAGGCGCCCCTAGGATGATTCATATTCTAAGAAACACATTTATTTAATCTTGTTAGTTTCTTAAACTTATCAGTGTTTATTATAACAGGTCAAACTTTACACACCCTCAAGTCCTTTTGGTATTCTCACCACCTATTATACAATCATATGTAATGTACATGTACAATATATATGTTTGTTGCTGGTTTGGGGTATAAAACATAATGTAGTTCAAGATAGCTGTACATAGTAGTTTTCTGGGGCTGCCATAACAAAATATCACAACTTTGGTGGCTTAAACAACAGCAATTTATTGTTTCACATTTCCAGAGGCTTAGCAGTCTGAGATCAAGGTGTCAGCAGGGTTGGTTCTTCTGAGGGTTATGAGGGAGAATCTATTTCATGCCTCTCTCCTAGCTTCTGGTGGTTTGCTGGCAATCTTTGGTGTTCTTTGTCTTGTAAACATATCAGCCTGATCTCTGCCTTCATGTTAAAATGGCATTCTCTCTGTGTGCGTGTCTCCAAATTTTCCCATTTTATAAAGATTCTAGTCATACCAGAGTGGGGCCCACTCTACTCCAATATGACTTCATCTTAACTAACTACATCTGCAACAACCCTATTTCCAAATAAGATCACATTCTGAGGTACTGAGGGTTAGGACTTCAACATAAAAAAATTGTTTAAAGGGAAATCGGAGGCAGAGACGAACCATGAGAGACTACGGACTCTGAGAAACAAACTGAGAGTTCTAGAGGGAAGGGGGTTGGGGGGATGGGTTAGCCTGGTGATGGGTATTAAAGAGGGCATGTATTGA